TCATGTCACAATGATGACATCACAAACAGGAGTGTGAAAATAGGATCATTATTTTAAGAAACAAAAAAAAAAACCTTTATTAGGGTTCCTGATGAGTAATTTGTGAAGAATGAGTCATAATAGTTCACAGTAGAAATGAGTGGAGCCTTGTGTGGTCTGAATCCACTGAATGCACCCCCGCGAGGCCTTAAAGCCTGAAGCATCTATTCATGGTCGGAAAGTGGAACAAAAACCTCAATGCATATGTAGATGTTTTCAGGCCTATACATCCCACGTAAATAGTCTGGTATTGACCTTATCAAACCACTCGGATGGTGCTGTGGACTCTGTGTTTAAAGTTTGGATCAAGTGACTTAATGTCAAAAACCCCCCCTTGTTAATTATTCCAATTGATTTAATTTTCCAGCCACCCCCATATTTTAATAAAATGACATAATTAAAAAGTTAATATGTAAAAAGTGACCAAAAGCAAAAAGCTGAACTAAACTAGAATGTTTATGTTTAAAAAACAGTGGCAAAGGCTAGTGCTTTAAAAGTACAAAAAACATTAGAAAGGTTTATTTTTAGATTCCCTGCAGCATGCTGAAAGTGTCCTGAGGTAATATTGTGTTGATTCAAATGAAAGTATTTTAACCAAGAAGAGGATCCTTGTTCAGCTAACGCTAAGAGGTTAATGGGTTTTTGCTTAATATGATAAAAACAACTGATGAGGAACAGAAAAGTGAAGACGGAGCAGACATCACATATATATGTTAAGAATACTCAGAATTTGTGAAGAAGTAATTGGAATAAGTGAAGTAGGGTTTAACACTTAAAAAACAAAAATAAATCAAATCTGCATTTCCACTAGATGTTGGTTGCAAATATTTTATTTAAAAATGTGAATGGCACATTAAAACATCTTGAAATGTATTTATAAATTAATTACTTTTGTTTGCTTAAACTATATACAACTAATTTTGGCATGTTTGACTATTTTTTTGTTGTTTTTTCCCCCCAACTATGAGTTGTATGTACAACAAAAAAACATATTCTTAGTTGACACATAATTTCGTATATTATTACACATTATTGTTTTACAAAAATATATTTTAGTATTAGTGAACATTAGTATTATTAAGCGTGTATTAAGTACATGCCAAAATGTATGGCTTGTAACAACAGTTTTGAGCTGCAAAATCTTGTGTTTCTCTTCCTGGGATCTACATTCTGAAATACACGTGTGAAACTGTTTATTTTTCTTGTTCACGTTTGCTCAAAAACACATTGGCAAAAAGGTAACTTTTTGAAAAAAAAAGTGTGTTATTCATTTATATTTATTTATTTAAAACTGGAATTCTAACTTGGGGTTGGTATTTCTTTGCCATAAGGAAGGAAAGAAAGAAAGAAAGAAAGAAAGAAAGAAGGAAAGGGCATCACAGTGGCGCAGTGGGTAGCATGATCGCCTCACAGCAAGAAGGTCGTTGGTTCGAGCCGCTGCTGGGTCATTTGGCATTTCTGTGTGGAGTTTGCATTTTCTCCCTGTGTTTGCGGGGGTTTTCCTCCGGGTGCTCCTGTTTCCCCCACAGTCCAAAGACATGTGGTATAGGTGAATTGAATAAGCTAAATTGTCCCTAGTGTAGGTGTGTAAATGAGTGTCTATGGATGTTTTTCAGGGATGGGTTGCAGCTGGAAGGGCATCCACTGTGTAAAACATATGATGTATAAGTTGGCGGTTCATTCTGTTGTGGCCAGTCCAGATTAATAAAGGGACTAAGACGAAAAGAAAATAAATTAATAAAAGAAAGAAAGAAAGAAAGAAAGAAAGAAAGAAAGAAAGAAAGAAAAGCAGTTTCTTTTAAAGCCTTTTTTTCTTATGGAAACTGCTCCAGTTTTTGCAGAATATCCAGGTTTTTTCCAGGTATTCAGAGGAGTTATTTATGGTCATTCGCTGATGTATGCTGGCAGAGTTAATAGGATGCTCTTGATTTACGGTAAGCCAGCGCCTGCTTATAGAGCTGTCTGAAAATAGACAAAATCTTCAGCTCGACAAAGGCAGCATTTTCTGTTCCCTTATTTTGCAATTTCTGTCTGTCCAACAAAGCACTCGTGTTTACCATCAAACTATTTTAGCAAACAAGTTTTCGCCAAAATTTTCACCCAGTGCTTATTCATTCAGCACACTAAAACCCCCGTCTTAAACAAAACTGGAACTCAATTTAATACTTGACCCTTTGCTTTTTTTTATCTGTATGAAGGCCCGTTATACTATATAAATATACAGTATACAGATACTTGTTTGTATTAAATGTTGTTCAGGTATTGATGTGCTGTGTTTTAGATCAAGAAATTCACATTGTAGGCTACGTACTTAAACTTTGATGTTTTACATTTGACGTATTACATTAGGAATCAGCCTCAAACCAAAGTTTTTTTATGTCTTTATCAAATGTCAGATGACGTTAAATTCATGTACAGCATATCTGGAGGAGCAGCAGCAAGACCACAAAATAGGTTAGTCAAACCACTTTGGTTCTGTGATGATGAGGAAACACAACCTTTCTCTGCCTCTCTCAAGGACCAAAACCCATGACTGAAAGTTACATTTAAAATCATTTCAAGAGAAAGTAAACCAGATTGCAAAGTGAAAGTTCTTGTTTACGGATAAATTCTAAGACAGCTTTATCAGGAAAAGAAACTTTTCCAAACTTTTTCAAAGAAGAAAAAAAAAAAAAAACATTTGTGCATGGTCAACTATTTTATTATTCTTATTGAATAGTATATTGGTACTACTTATATCAATTTTATTTTCTAATGCTTAGTTTTGATCTAGTATTCAATAGGATATAAAAAATAAAACAAGAATTTTTCACACTTCCAACTTTTGTGTTTGATTATTTCCACTGACTAATATAATGTTAACATGCAAGTAAATAAAATAAAATTAATTTACAACCAAGTGTTATGCTTATCAACTAATTTGCAAATCCATTACCATATAAATATAAATTAATATAAATTTCCATTGCTATATATATATAGAGAGAGAGAGAGAGAGAGAGAGAGAGAGAGAGAGAGAGAGAGAGAGAGAGAGAGAGAGAGAGAGAGTTGAAGTCAGATTTATTAGCCCTTTTGATTTTTTTCCACTTTTTTAAATATTTCCCAAATGATTTTTAACAGAGCAAGGAACTTTTCACAGTATGTCAGATAATATTTTTTCTTTCTTCTCTTTGTTTTACTTCGGCTAGAATAAAAACAGTTATTAATTTTTTAAAAAACATTTTTGGACCAAAATTATTATCCCCTTTAAGCTATTTTTTTTTCGATAGCCTACAGAACAAACTATCGTTTTACAATAACTTGCCCATACCTGCAAAGTTCACCTAATTAACCTAGTTAAGCCTTTAAATGTCACTTTAAGCTGCATAGAAGTGTCTTGAAAAATATCTTGTAAAATATTATTTACTGTCATCATGGCAAAGATAAAATAAATCAGTTATTAGAAATGAGTTTTTAAAACCATTATGTTTAGAAATGTGCTGAAACAATCTTCCCTCCATTAAACAGAAATTGGGGAAAAAAATAAACGGGCGCAAATAATTCAGGGGGGCTTATAATTCTGACTTCAACTGTATATATATATATATATATATATATATCTGTATCTATCTATCTATCTATCTATCTATCTATCTATCTATCTATCTATCTATCTATCTATCTATCTATATATATATATATATATATATATATATTATATATTAAATATATATATATTATACATATATTTAAAGTCAGAATTATTATGTAAACATAATAAAAGTCATCTCTAATAACTGATTTATTTTATCTTTGCCATGATGACAGTAAATAATATGTGACTAGATAAATTTCAAGACACTTCTATACAGATAAAATTTACATGTAAAGACTTAACTAGGTTAATTAGGTTAACTAGGCAGGTTAGGGTAATTAGGCAAGTTATTGTATAACGATGGGATTGTTCTGTAGAATATCGAAAAAATATTAGCTTAAAGAGGCTAATAATTTAGTCCCTAAAATGTTTTCTTTTTTAAAATTAAAAACCGTTTTTATTCTAGCCAAAATCAAACAAATAAGGCTTTCTCTAGAAGAAAAACAATTATCAGACATATTTCCTTGCTCTGTTAAACATAATTTGGGAAATATTTTAAAAAGAAAAAAAACTTTTAACTGACTGAACTGACAGATGTCTTACCATAGCAATGATATACAGTGGTCATTTGGGTAATTTTGAATGGTATAAAAATATTTTTGGTTCATTTTAAAACTCTGGTACGACAAATTTGTAATAAATTGCTTTTGTAATTTTTGTAATAATTTGTAATATAACATATCAATTGTAATTTCGGTTGCTCTGTTTGAGTTACTGAAATCATTATAATAAAAAAAAATGCAAGTGAAAAAAAAACACAAAAGTAAATTTCCCTTACCATAACTACCTAATAACCAATTTGTTAACAAAATCCATAATAATATAACGCAAAATAATATAAAAATGTGACTAAATAAAAATCCAAAATTTCCCTTTAACGTGTTTCCCTAGGACACATTTCATTAAGTAAGATTTCATTTTAATTGTCCTTAATCTCTGGAAACAGTTTAGTATGGTACACTCTGGGTAGATTTATTTATTTTTTGCAAGATCAAATCTACATCCCTTAAACCTGTCCCATACAACTTATAAGTAAATAAGTATTTACTGAAACTGAGTATGTTCAGTTCACCATAATAAAACGTTAACTATTCTTTTTGACTAGGCATCTACAGTATCTCTAGAGTATTAATAGAGGGTTAATAATTATAGAGTTATAAATTGATATTTACTTGCAAAACTTCATATCATTAGTCTAGTAGAGACCATCAAAACTGAGTATTAATCGTTAGTGTTAGTTTATATATATGAACAAATATTACTCCAATGGCTATAAATGAAATGCGGTTGCAAAATCATAAGTAGTCAACAATGTTAAAACTGGCCAATGAAAATTAAACATTACAACGTTAACTTTTTTATAATTATCTTTCCATCTCCACTTAGAGTAAATCAATTTCTTTCCTCCTGCATGAAAATTCCAGCTCACATGCATAGATGTTTTTTTTTTTTTAATCACCCACTTAACACTTCCTCTTTTGAGCATCAATATAAACTAGGCAGAAAATGCCTCCCCTGTCAGACCTGCTTCACCACCAATCATTTGATCTCAGCTTCAACATGGCACTGCGACCTTCTTTACTGCTGGCAGTCACTGCAGTCTGCTGCTTCACAATCATCATTGGTAAGTGTTCAGAAATTTATTATATATATATATATATATATATATATATATATATATATATATATATATATATATATATATATATATATATATATATATATAAACAAATTTGTAGAAAATAAATATTTTAGATACAATTTACATAAAATAGATAAAATGTCTGACTTTTGGAAATGACATTTCAAAATGTGCTATATAATATACTTAGCTTAATTACAAATTCAGTTGTTATGCCTCTTAAAGGGGTAAGTTTACCCAAAAAAGAAAATTCTGTCATTATTTTATTTACTTCCCAATAACTTGTTCCAAACCTTTAAGTGTCTGTTAACACAAAAGAAGATATTGTGAAAAATGTTGGAAACCTGCAGACATTAAAATCCATAGTACTTGTTTTTTCTTACGATAGCTGCCAGTTTCCAACATTCTTCTTAATATATTTTATGTTCAAAACAAAAGAGAAAGATTGGGAAGCATTTGAAGATAAGGAAAATGCTGTATATTTGGGGGAATACCTCTTTAAAGATATTTAAAATGTGCTTTTTTTTTCAATTTTGCCTTTATATAAATATTAAACATATTTTACAATTCTAACAGAATGCTTGTATGACTGTTTTTCAGCACTCCCAATGGATGGCTTTGCTACCGAAAATAAGTGCAAGTGTCAGACCACCACTTCATCTAGAATCCCACCTCGGCTCTTCCAGAAGATTGAGATCCTGCCTGCAGGCGCACACTGCCGCAAGGCCGAGATCATGTAAGTCACGATGTTTCAGTGACACTCGCACTTCGATCACAGACATGGGGAAATGTGCAAGGGAGTTGATGTTTCCTCTGTTCTGAAAAACCTCAGATCTCTCCAAAATACGCTTTATTTGCACAGTATAGCCTACGCAGGACTCCCACAAATGTCACTTAGCCCATAATAATTAAGCGTATTTGAGTAATAGAGAGATTTCATGTACTCATCAATTCTCTTTATTATTTAGAATCACTAAAAAGGACAACCAAGCTGTTTGTTTACATCCTGAAGCACGATGGGTCAAAGAAATGGTCTCAAAAATTATAAGGTAGGATACTTTCACAATTAAAACCACTGTAGATTTGACCTTTCTCTCTCTTTTTGGTTTCCTTTAGGTTGTCTAACTGTCTCCTTTTGTTTCCTTTAGCAAAAGAGCTGAAAGGGAAACTGCCATGCCAACTGTGGCATAAATCAACACACACAAGACCAACCACAAGAATGATATTTTCCATTTTCTTATCTTTCCCTTTGGTTTGCTCAGCCAACTCGAATGTATTGAATGTTATCTGTATTTACTGTATGAATCACAAATCTACAAAATGTTGCTATGATACTGGAATGTATTCAAAATCTGTCTACTGTTTTGAAATAAAAAGCGCACAACCTTCTTTAAAATAACATCTTTATTGCCTTTGAGTTTGGGACAAGTTTTTTTGTTGAGTATTTAGTGTATTACAAATAAGCTTCATGAAGGAGCATTTTCAGTTGCAAAACGCACACAACAACAAGTTCTGTTCTCATATCATCACCAATCATGTGTTCAAAGACTAAACAAGGTTTACAAAACATGTATTCCAGAAGAAACTGCATGAAAAAAGTCTCAAAAGTCAATGAGAAAAGCCATCTTTGTGTTGTGGAACTTCTTTTTTATAGGGGTTTTCTATTCATTGTACATGGGGTCTCTTTGCAAAATGTTCCTTTACAATAATACATGTCTGTCATTAATTAGAGTGTCTCAACAAGACTCAACCCCCATAGTGCATGCTTTTACTATATATTAAACTATATATATTATTATACAAACACTGCATGTTCAGCAATCTGGATTTTAATCTGAGCACTCGGAATACATTTGTAGGAAATATGCTTTGATGTGAATTTTTGTTAGGATTACATGAAAGGTTTTTAAAATGTATTAAAAAAAACCTTAGAAATCAAAATTGCTGCTATTAAACAAGGGAAACTGCCAATTTACATTCCTCAGATATTTAGCAATTTCATTAACAATTCATTTGAACATTGCTGACCATGACATCTTTTCTTTATAAGAACGTTATAACTGAATCATGGCCATTTAGTAGTCATCATGCCTCTCTGGTGAAGAAATGGATGGATGGATGGATGGATGGAAGGATGAGTGGATGGATGAATGCTGGTGCTGGTTCACTCTGTAAGCATCTTGCTTTCGCAGGCAGTACTGTTGTAGAAAAGATGGTTCAGACAGGCACAGTTTGATCAAAGAGGAATGATTCATCAGACTCATTGTTTTGCTCTTGCTGAGTTGGCTTATCATATCCTGATTTACAAAACCTTCCCCCAGTTTCACAGACAGAATTTTATAAACGTACATTAGAGCTCAATAATTTGATTGCGAAGCCACATTTCTACCATTACTCAGTTATAAAGGCTTACTAGATTGTTCTTAACTTGTCTACTTTTGTTCAATTGTGTAAATACAAATGAGTGATGCTTTTTTTATTGTAAAAAGTCTCTTGATTGTCGTTGTGTTTGAGGATTTGGGTCAGGTGATTCATGTTTTTTGCACTTCCATTAATGGAGCATAGTGCGCATTGACTCGCCTACATTTTTACGGTACATTGTGGGACTTTTCGCGGTGCGAATGTTTTAATGCATTGGAAAAATTGGTAACACTTTATAATAACTACACACTATGAATCATTTACTAAGCAATAACATCTAGTGAATTCATTCTTTGTTAAGCATTAACTCTAGAGTAACAAACGTTAGTAAGCAGTTTATAACTGCAACTACAAATGCTGCATTCTTGACTTATAAGCACCTATATAATGTGCTTAATAATTGTATTTTTATAATTAGTTAATGATTTATTTTTCATTACTAAATTGAGTATCGCATTATTTACAAACCAGTTGTATTTAAGAGTAGTTGAGGGTTTTTAGGATGATACAGAATGAGTTAGTAAATGATTAATAAACTATTAAAATTATTGTTTATATGTCTTATTATTCAGGCATGAACGGTTACTATGTATGTTTATAAATGCTTTATTAACTCAACTTAATCTAGTTTTGGGACCTAATCTAAAGCGAGGACTGTTTATGCTTTATAAATCATATTCATTTAAAGATACACAAATGAAACTTTACTTCACATGAAAAATAAATCTTTGCAACCTTTTCTAAAATCACTGTATAGTCTAAACATTGCATTTTATTATATTGTTAAATATTATATTGTTGTTTTATCCAGTTTTATGTCGTATTTTGACACTCCTGTTTTTGACAATGTTTAAACTTCACAGTAATTTTACTTTTTAGAAAAGATTGCAAAGATTATTGTTCATTTGATTCTGAGCCTTTAAATGTCATTAATAAGGGATTTATAAAGCATAAATAGTCCTCGCTTTAGATTAGGTCACAAAACTACATGAAGTTAAGTTAATAAAGCATTTATCAACATATTAGTTAACTATTAGTATATGCCTGAATTATAAGATATATAAATGTTGATTTCAATAGTTTAGTAATCATTATAACTTCATCATATCATCATAACTTATTCTGGATGATCCTAAAAACCTTCAATACTGTAGAACTGGTTTGTAAATAATGCGATACTTAATTTAGTAATGAAAAATAAATCATCAACTAAGTATGAAAATAAAATTATTAAGCACATTATATAGGTGCTTAAAAGTCAAGAATACAGCATTTGTAGCTGCAGTTAAAAACTGCTTAATGATGTCTATTACTCTACACTTTTAGAAATAAAGGTACAAGAGCTGTTACTGGGGCAGTACCTTTTCAAAAGGTACATATTTGTACCTGAAGAGTCCATATTGGTATCTCAAAGGTACATTTTAGGTACTGATATTATATAGGACCACTAAGGACTCTTTAGGTACAAATATGTACCTTCTGACAAGGTACTGCCCCAGTAACTAGTTATTTCTGAGAGTGTAGAGTTAATGCTTAACAAATAATGAATTCACAAGATGCTAATGCTTAGTAAATGATTCATAGTGTGCAATTATTATAAAGTTTTACCGAAAAATTCTGTGATTAAGACAGCACTAACACAGTCTGACTCTCTGATTAGTGAATTGACTACTGAATAAGGAACCGTTTGAGACACACCCTATATGGGCTTTATCATACACCCGGCGCAAAAAGACGTGTTTGGTGTGATGTGTTGCTATTTTCAGACCAGAGCAACCCTAATTTTCCCGTTTTGCTTCACATTGTTTAAATAGGAAATTAATTTGCGCCGCTTTGTGGACTCATGGTTGTGCCGGTCTAGAGTGGAGGTGTGTTAAGGCGCATTGTTGGTGCGTTGCTATTTTGAGGAACTAAAATAGACTGTGCAATAGACTAGCTGAAAGCAGGCATAAAGTCCAATGCAGAGCACATTATTTTTGCGCCTAAACGCGTACACATTGCTTAATACACACAGGATGTACAGCAATACACAAATATCTATACAAATGAAAAAGGATTAAAATATTACAAAAAAATATTATTTTCAACATAAATATAAAAACCACTGCCTCCATGCCTTCTTCATCTCAGGGGGCTTTTTTAGCTTATTCATAACATCTTGCTTTTGTATAATGTTATTATTAGTAGTAGTATTATTTATTATATGCAAATTTAAATTTGTTTTAATAAAAAGAAGTTTAGATTTGTTTAACCTGTCAGGTTTTGGACCATATGTGGCACAGGACGTGTGTTTGGATATAACCACACTTCATTATTATTGTTCAGTTATTTGTTTGCTGGAAGTTAGAACTGAATTTAGAAATAGTTCTTTAACAAATCTTTGTGCTTAAAAAAATTTAATTAAATATGTAGACTAAAGGATGTCTTCAGTGGAGTGTGTACAACACTGTTTCCACAAAAGTGAAGGAGTAAGTAAGGAAAAAGAGGAAGTAAAGTGGTCGAAAGGAGGAGGCTCATTCTCTTAAAGGGAATGGGAGACAAGTCTCTGATTTGTTGGTGTGCTTTTTGCTCAAAACACACCCATAACTCATTAAGAGAATAAGCACAACCCTGTTAGACCATGCATCAGAGTGCGGAAGTATTTTTCCATCCTTAAAAAAGCAAATACGGATTCAGACACACCCTTAATACTTTTGTGCCATGCGATTTAGACTTTGTGTGTAGATCCCTAAAATAGAGCCCTTTGTCTAACCTTGAATAAAATCACACATTTCAAAGCACTTCACAAGAGTTTTAAATATCCAAACTTAACTAAGGCCTAGTTCTGGCTTAAGATATGCTCTGTCTGTGAAACTTGGCCATAAAGCTTAACCGTCAGCTATAAAAATGAAAGAGTCTCAAATCAAATTTGTCATTAAATGTAAGTGGGATGAAAGTTATGGAAGTTGTGTGGTTATTATTATTTTTGAAAAACAATGGCAAGTTATAAGTAAAGCATGCTGTGCACAAAGACCATCTACCACATCTACTTCAGCACCCTGAACTGGTTCCTCTTGAAACACCACCAGCTCAACACAGAACAAAAACACAAGTATAAAAAGTGTTAGGAAAGTTGTAGCTTTGCTCAAAATGTCATAGTGTTTGCCTGCATGTGTCAGTTAGATGAGTGCTACTAACAACTTACATGCTCAACATTACAAAATGCTCAGGGAATTGGACTCAAGATCTTTGTCGTTTTAATTTTCATAATTGTTTGGCTGGACAATTGATGTTTATTAAAGTTTATAAAAAATGTAATTACCTTTATTAAAGAATGTGTCCACAAGCAATCGTGAAGGGAAATAATACCAAAGTAATCATGTGATAAACAACGACAGTAATATGCCACTGATATTTCAATTGTATTAAAAATTATTTTTTATACCAGATTCAGGCTACACAATATCTCAATTTTCGCACAATTTGTTTGGTGTAGGGCGACATGTTAATTTATTCTCTAATCGACCGGCCTGTCTTTTAGACATCCAACAAAAAAAAAAAAAAAACATTTTACTACATTTTTTTCCAGTCCTCCATGCAGGGTTTTATGACCTCTATGATGATGACAAGCACAGAAGCTGTTCAGTATACATGGTGATTATTGAAGTATACAATTAATCTGAGCAAGTTAATCCTCTCTCTCTCTCTCTCTCTCTCTCTCTATATATATATATATGTGTGTGTGTGTGTGTGTGTGTGTGTGTGTGTGTGTGTGTGTGTGTGTGTGCTTTGTTGTTGTTTTTGCATAGGTACTCTTCAATCAATTTCTAAAAAAACTGTTTCTGCTTTGGAATGTCAGTTCAGTGGCTTGGCTTTTGACCACTTCTCACCAACCGAGAGTTCACTGTAAGAAATAGAGAGAAGGAACACTAACCCTACTCTCTATTCAATATTACATTTCAGCTGTAAATACATCCATAATACTGTAACCAATTTAGCCGAAACTCCCAGCTCAGATGGATTTAGATGTGGGTTGTATCTTAAATTGCCCCATACCCTTAATTTAGCACTATTTGAGGGATTAGCCATTTGTAGTTTTGTCCAAAACCATATTAAATGTTTTGAAGTGCACTCAATCAATCCTAAAGTCCATCGCAAAAACAATTTAGCGTACAACTAATGTACAATAACGCAATGGCTAGATATTATATCATACCAAATTAACTCCTGCATCTGACGACAAAATGGTATCCACAGCAGAATCCGTTTGATGTATGTTTAGGGGAGTTGTAAAATGAGCCTATTTAAAACAAAATATGTGATAAAACAGTTTTACCATTTTTTTATCTGTTCAGCCAATATCTGGTTAAATAAATAAATAACAAAATAAAATAATAAATAAATAATTGAATTAGATTAGACTATTAGCATCTCACTAAAAAATGACCATACAGTCCCGATAATTTTGCTATTTGAAACTTGACTTTCCAGTAGTTACATTTTGTATTAAGACACAGAAAATAAAAAGTTGCTATTTTCAGGCCAATATGGCTAGTAACTACATTCTCATTCTGGCGTAATGATCAAGGAACTTTGCTGCTGTACCATAGCTGCAGCAGACGCAATGATATTACGAAATGCCTGAAATTCAGCAAATTTTTGTTTAAAGATACCTTTAGCCAGGGACTATTTTTAGGGTCAAAACATAATAACAAATGAAAAACTTTTTATCTAGAACAGCAATCCATTATTATTATTTACTATAAATTATCCAGCCTGATCTCATGAGTAAACGTAACTATTTTACGATTTGTCAGTGCAGTGGCTAATGAGTGCAGTCATATGAAAATGTAGTTTTAAAAAGGAGGCGTGGCACCCGCCCCTAAACCTAACCCTTATTAAAGTATAAGCAAATCATATTAAAGTTCATAAATGAGATCAAATGAACTCATATGAATTAGCCACTAAATCAAAAAGTTACGAATTGCGTGAAACTGTGTTGAAATTAACATTTTTATTTTTATCAACTAGTAAACACAAAAGAAAAAGGCATTTCTTCTGGAGCACTACTGGAGTGAACAAAAATCACTCACTCATTTCCATTCACTTCAAGTGGACTAATGTAGGGAACACTGATTGAGGGTAAAGGGGTCATTTAGGATACAGCCATGGTGAAATGAATAGGAGACATTGATAATTAGTGCTGCTAGCTGGAATTATGCAGTGGAGAAAAGGTTCAGTTTGTTTCTGATGGCAGAATGATCAAATCCAAAACACTGTTAGGCAGCCATTTTTTGTTTATCCTTGTTTTTAGAAATCAGAAACTAATTGTGTCTTCTTTATGATTTCATGTTTTTAAAGACAGCAAGTATGTAGTTTGGTGGGTGTCTCTTGACCATCAAAACAGACAAAAATATTGTGTAGCTTAGACCTGGCATTTGTTTGACCAAAAATATTTTTTAGACCAGAATGTACTATATAACCTTTGTCAGACTGTTGTCCCAACGTCAATGCTAGATGCCTAAAGAGAAGGTCTGAGCAGATATATGTCAAATAAAATCAAATAGTGCATGAAGGACACAAAACTTGGAGAGTTTATTGCTCAAAGCAATGATTCCTTCCAGTCTGATTAAATCAAATATGTGATATTTTTAGCAGATTCCTTTAAGAGCAAATTATTTTATTTGTAATTCACTGCGAGTTTGTTGTGTTAAAAGTCATACTTAATAGTCTGGTAGTGTGTGAATCTTGGTAGTATTTAATGCTCTTTTTTCATGTAACTATTCACAAAATTGGCAAGTGTATAAAGCTTGATGTTTTAAATTTAATCTGATGTTCAGATTTTAAAAAGTTGTATAGTGTATTTTAGCCTTAGAGATTAGATATCAGTGTATGCTGATATCAAAGCTTGTGACCAGCACCATAAAATTTTAGATAAAACAGAGATGTAAAAAGGCCTCTAACTATTGAGATGCTCATCATTTATACACTTCTGGCAAAAAGGTACAAAACAACAAATGCCGTTTATAAGCAGAACTTAACATTCAACCTCTACACGCCTTTAGCCTTTAAATGCAAAACAGCACAATAACATTAAGTAATTATGAAAATTTCTGTTCATTTACTCAGCAAAGGCATTCATTTCTTTTTTTATGTATTTTTTTTTTACTCTTAAAGTGCTGGTTACTGTTTTAGCATTTTAGGGATCCCCAATGACCACGGTTTTACCTAAAAAACATCTGTAAAGTTAAAGTTAAATCTAGCATAGCCTGAGGTGGCATAAATGAACAGCATTTTCATTTTTGGGTGAACTATCCCTTAAAACTCCTAGCTAGTCTCCTGTAGCAATTGTACAAATAACACCAACCCTACACTTTTGAGCTTGTAGTTAACTTCAGTGAGACAGAGAGGAGTTTTTACTGTGTATATATCCACCTTATTTTGCAATGAGGAAATAAGCCATGTTCTCTGAACGTGTGAGACATTAGCCTCTATAGCAGAGATGCTCAAACTAGGGCCTGCAAGCCAAAGTTGGCCCATGGTAACCTTTAATTTGGCCTGCCTACCAATCAGAGAAGTGATAAAGAAATTATGGAGAAGGCTGGGGCGAATCCCTTAAACAAAGATGGTCCTTTCTAATTTTACATAACTTTTTTTGCTTGTTTAATTGTTGAGCTACAAAAAATAAATTATTTAATGTTTCATTCATTTTTTTTTTCGACTTGTCCCTTTATTAATCTGAGGTCGCTACAGCGGAATGAACCACCAACTTATCCAGCATATGTTTTTTTTTTTGCAGCGGATGGCCTTCCAGGCGCAACCCATCACTGGGAAACCCATACACACTTATTCGCACACATACATACACTATGGAGAATTTGGCTCACCCAATTCACCTAATGTAAATTCATCAGAATTTTAAAGGGTCATGAAACCCTAAAACACATTTTATTTTTAGATGTCAACAAATATATGTTTGGCATGTTGCTAAAAACACTATTAAGACATATTTCACTATCGAGTGAAAATGTATTCTTTTTGTAAAAAAAAACAAAAAAATTAAACTCCATTCTGTTATAAATAAGATTGTTTATGGTTTTATTGTAAGAAGTACATTAAAATGTAATATGTAATATATATATAATAATTCATTTGATTAAATTATTGTTTCTATATATTTAAAATATTATTAAATTAGAATGTTACCATGGTAACTTTAATGTAATACAGCCCACCACCCTCAAAGTTTGGTTTTTAGCCCTTCATAAGAAAAAGTTGGGGCACCCCTGCCTTATAGGTAAAGAACAAAAAAAAAAAAAAAAACACCTAAACTAATTCGGCAACAGGCTACTGTGTTTGGAATTGACAAAAAATAATGTTCATTCATTAATTTTCCTTCGGCTTAGTCCCTGAATATCAGGGGTCGCAACTGCTGACTATTGCAGCAAATGTTTTACACAGCAGATCCCCCTCCAGCCGCAACCCAGTACTGGGAAACACCCACAAACTCTCTCATTCACACATACTCATACACACTACATAATTTAGTAAATCCAATTCACCTGTACCACATGTCTTTAAACTGTGAGGGAAACCGCAGCACTCAGAGGAAACCCACCTGATCACGGGGAGAACATGCAAACTCCACACAGAAAAGGCAACTGGGACTATCCACTGTGCTAACCACTGAGCCACCCCCAAAAATAATAATAGTTCCAAAATTATTATGATCATTTTGTACTAAATATTAGCATGATGGACTGTTTTAGTGCAGGTGTAAGTGCATGACACTGGAAGCCTTTTGCACGTTTGAGCTACAAACCCAATCTGACATTAAAAATAAGGTGGATACATTAGTATGATGATGTAATTTAGATGTCATTGCAAGACGAAAGTGAAAGCAGCAAAGGTACACAGCTGTGTTATAATCAGTAGGGCTGGGATCCTCTTTAATAGTGTCAATTACTGACTTAAGTACAAGTTTCGCATAATTCTTCACATTGCACTATTGAGAATTTTCAATTAAAAATAGATTGCTAAAAAATCCGACCTCACCACATGTTTCACTTCATGATCTCAATGCAAATCCATCAATGAATAGGGGAACTTAAATTTGTAATGAACAGGATACAGTAACTGTAATATTTGAAGTTGCATATGGGGTTTTACTGTAATTGCTTTAATTTTAAAATGTTTGATATGTCAAAAGGGAATTTAAAAGCGGATGCTGATCGAAACGTCATAATACTAGTGCTCACATTGTTATGCTAAATGATCTGTCTTCTCATAAGATACACATTTCTACCATCAATACACACGGTTAGTACAATCTCACATTTAGATTTAGACAAACAGATCGATTTCCCTGAAAGCAGTGTTCGTTTGGTACCAAACAGAGAATCCCAACCCTAATTTGGTATTAAGCTTTTGTTTTCAAATTGGAAAACATAATAATAATAATAATAATAATGATACAATCATGTGCAAAGGCTTAAAAAAGCAAGAAAGTAGGTGAGCACTTCACTCCTTAATGTGTGCGCCTATACTTTTTGGGGCTTATGATGGGGGTCTGTCCATGGTGTGGGGTTTTGGGAGAGGAAGGAAGGGGTCTGCACTACCTGTGGACAGGCAGATGCAGCCCGTTGAGGGGGGGTAAAGGCGGATGGTACTCCAGCTGAGCCAGGAGGGAGAAGTGGTCGGAGGGGATGTGAGGGTGAGGGCAGCCGGTTATGTTGTTGTCCTTCAGCCATTGTGTCTCCAATGGACCCAGAACACCCAGAACGCTCATGTGTGTCTTTGAGAAGAAGATGTAGTCAATCACACCCTACAGAAAATGTAAAAAGGGTAAAGATATCAAAATGTTGCATCCTTTCAGATTAAGTAAATTCAACCCTCTACTGCAGCAATTGTGTATTGCACAGTGCCTATAGAAAATCATCATACCCCTCTGAAATAATGACTTTATTTGTCATACAATCTGAAATCAAATCACATTCTAAATAACTTTTCCAGCCTTTTGAAGTGTTTGTGTAGCCTTCTCCTAACCTGTGCTTTTTTTTTTTTTACAACTTTATCCCGAAGGTCTTTTGAAAACAGGGTGAAATGTGAGTAATAGGGATGCACTGATCAGGATTTTTGCAGCCATTATCGAGTAGTTGAGATCGGCCGTTACTGAGTACAGATTCTGATGCTTCAAGCTTTAAAATGCATTAAGCACATTTTCCTTCTAAGTAAGATAATTAAGTGGAGTTTTCTCTTTACCTAAGAGCATAAATTAAGGATGCTGCATATAATCCTTAAACAAGTCTCTTTTAGGTGTGAACATGTCATAGTTAAAAGCAGCATTACAGAAAATAATAGACAGCACAGATAAAGAAAAAAAAACATGGTAAGAAAAATGATTAACAATACGTTTTGGAAACACTGCAAAGGAAGGAAGAAGAATTAATAATAATGATAATTCCTTACATTTATATAGTGCTTTTCAAGACACTCAGGGCTCTATTTTGACGGTCCATGCACAGAGCGCAAAACGCAGGGCGCAAACGCTTTCAGGGCTTGTCAGGACGCGTTTTTGCTAATTTAAGGATGGAAAATCTGCCTTGCGCCACGGCGCATGGTCTAAAAGGGTTGAGTTTATTTTCTTAATGAGTTATAGGTGTGTTCTGAGAATAAACCAATTAGAGTCTCATCTCCCATTCCCTTTAAGAGTCAGCTGCGTCACGCCAAGAGCGCATTCGCTATTTACAGGACGCAAAGTAAGTCTAAGTGGAAAAAATGAGCATTTCACAAGCAAACAGCTAACAGTTGACAGTTTTTTTTTAACAGAAAACTGTTAAACAGAGCATCTACTGCGTGAGAATGAGAGATAATGGAACTACTTTCACGTTCGCTCTTGGATAGGGAAACTTTACGCACAGACATCAATTAGCCTATAAATAAATACTTTTGTTTGTTAAGGCCCAATATTCATTTCAAAACTATTTCTAAATTCAGTTCTAATTTCCAGCAAACGAATAAATGAATAATAATAACAAAATGTTATATCCTAAAACACATGCTGTGCCCCATATGGTCTAAAACCTGACAGGTGGGCAAATCTAAGCTTGTTTTTAATAAAACAAATATAAATATGGATATATTAAATAACACTGCTAATAATAATAACATTATACAAAAGCAAATTGTTATGAATGAACTGAAAAAGCCTCCCGAGATGAAGAAGACATAAAAGCAGTGATCTTTCATATTTATGTAGGCTAGAAAATAATGTTTTGTAATATTTTAATCCTTTATATTTATACTCTATATCTATCCTTATTATATCCTATATATATCCTTAATATTTACATTTTTTCATATGTAAAGATAATTGCCTATTGCTCTCTTGTGCGTATTAAGCAGTGCGTAAGCACTGAGTTTAGACCGGGTTAGTGATGAAGCCAATTATGATATGGGGATGGTTATAAGGCCATGATGGACAGAGGCCAGTGGGCCAAATTTGGACAGGTTGCCGGGGTTAAACCCCTACTCTTTTTTTCGAAGGGCATCATGGGATTTTTAACGATCACAGAGAGTCAGGATCTCAGCTTAACATCTCATACGAAAGACAGCGCTCATTGAGCAGTATAGAGCCACCATCACTATACTGGGGTATTAGGACCCACACAAAGCACAGGTTGGGTGCCCCATGCTGGCCTCACCAACACCACTTCAGGCAGCAATCTAGCTTTCCCATGTGGTCTCCCATCCACGTACTGACTGGGCACAGCCCTGCTTAGCTTCAGTGGGCGACCATGTGTGCGTTGCAGAAAGCAAGCTGCTGGCAATTCAATATATCTCAATCAAGAAAAAGGTTTGGAGAGCATATTTGATGAACAAGAAGTTAAAAAGCACACCTATAAATCTAATACTTCTTAACTAAAAGTAAATAGGTCTATAAACTACTGTTTATTGCAAAAAGTAAATTACAAGAAGTTATATTATTAAATATTCATGTTAAAATGTGCTCATCTCCAGCTAACACAAATACTTGGGATCGGGTCATGAAATCTGTAAGTACAGATCGGGTCATTAAATAATAATAATACGTTTTATTTAAAGGTGCCTTTCTGGCAACTCAAGGACACTGTACAATAAAACAAGAGAAATAGAACAAGAGAAATAATATAAAAACATACACAGCAATAGTGCAGATACAATTAAGTATTAAAAGCCATCTTAACTAAGTGGGTTTGAGTCTTGATTTGAATAGTGTGAGGCAGTCAATATTTCTGATGGCAGGTGGTAGTGAGTTCCAAAGCCGGGGAGTAGAGCGGCTGATTGCTCTATTGCCCATGGACGATAGACGAACAGAGGGAACAGACAAATGGAGGGAGGAAGAAGATTGCAGGGTGCAAGACGGAACAGAAATGTGGGCAGACAAATATGGAGGGGCGAGATTATGGATGGCTTTGAATGTTAACAGCAAAATGTTAAAAATTAAAAAAAAAAAAAAAAACAATTTGAAAATGAACTGGTAACCAGCGAAGCTGCTGCAGGACAGGGGTGATGTGATGAGAAGAAGGGGTTCTGGTGATGATACGTGCAGCTGAGTTCTGGACCAACTGAAGCTTATGGAGGGATTTGTGAGTGACACCAAAGAGAAGGGAGTTGCAGTTATCTAAATGAGATGTGTTAAGGCTATGGACGAGAACAGCAGTGGCATGGGGGATAAGATAAGGGCGGAGTCGGTTAATATTGAGTAGGTGGAAGTAAGCAGACTGGGTGATGTTATTGATGTGAGAATCAAAAGATGGGGTGCTATCAAGAATGACACCCAGACTCTTAACCTGTTTAAAAATGTGATTATTAGCCGATACCGATCCCCGGCGATTAGAGCATCCCTAGTGAGTAAAGAATTAGATTTTCACAGGGTGTGATGATTTTCTATAGACACTGTATGATTAAATAATTCTACACAATTTTTGGTTAATTTCATTATTTTTTAGCGCAACCCTTAGCCCAAAATATTTTGGTACTGAATCATGGAGAAGATTATTGCTGCAATTATTAATAAACACCCATAAAACAAAGCTAAGAGCGAATCTTATTGATCAAAAATGGAAAGCACTTGAAACTCATTGATGTATTGAATCTGGTACAGGACTTGCATTATATAGTGTCTCATCTCATTTGCTCTACTTCATGTAATTACGCAATGAGTTTTCATTTCATGGGAAATTGGAAATCCCACCACTAGTTTGCCACCTCTTCTGCTTTGAACATAAATTGTGCACTAACATGTATAACAATATGTGATAATCTCTAAGCACAATATTAGCAAAAATATCGTTAGAATAAAAAAAACTTGTAAAAATAAAACTTAAGTTGATGAAAATTATAAGAAAATTAGAATTTCTAAACATTCAAAATAAAATAAAATCATAATAAAACCTAATAAAATGTATTTTTACACCGGCATGCATATATTTATGCATTGACCATGTCTTTTTAAACAGGATTACTACAGCAGATATCTTGCCTTTTAATCACATCAAGCACTCCTTGGGCCACGGGTGCAAAGAATATTCCACCTTCAAATGGTGCATGATAGTGACCCTCAAATCCTATTTGACTTTTTCTTTATTGCTATTAACCATTCCAATTGGTTGCAATGATTTATGAAAACATGCACTGAAAATTGACATTTCTGTTGCCAAGTGAAATGTTGTGCAGTAAAGGATTAATTCATTTAAATGTGTAACAAATGCAATTTTTAAAACTCAACAACAGTTGTCACTTTTAAGGTATGTACTAATGACCGTTTTTTTGCCATGTGTCAACAAAGTGTAACAAAAGAAAAAACAAACTTTCCCTGATTTTCTAGATTGTCAAAGAAAGCACATTCTGATTTTTATGTGAATGATTCAGGATGTTGCCAAGAAAACCAAAAGGACGTGACATTTACACACGCTCACTCTTTTCCATTCTGACACATTAAACGAATGCTTATTTGTTCAAGAGAATTCCGTCAGAGCTATTATTTGTACTTAAATGTCACTGTGTCATGCAAAAAAAGATATTTCTTCAAACTTTAATTTTGAATTAATTATTGAATAAATTATAAATTGTAAATAGTCTCAAATATAGGTCACTTTAAAATCTATTTAAAAGTCTTTTTAGGCCTCTTATATTATGCCTCTTTTTACAATTTTTGGTGTTCCTAAAATGTGTCTGTGAAGTTTCAGCTTAAAATACCTGTCAGACCATTTGAAAATGTCAGTTTTTGGGTCAGAGCTGTTTGGTGTCTTTGGCTTTAACTGCAAATAAGCAGTTTCTCCTGTAATGAAAGTAGAATGCAGGGTTTGGGCATGTCTGCCTAGCGACACGAAACTGATACTGATTCTGATGAAGCAGAGACCTAGTCACAAATACCAAAACTAGAACTGAATCAGAAAGTTTTTGAATGTTTTCAGAAGTTTTTTGATGTACTTTATAATTATTTGATGTGGCCTTTTTTGCAACGATAAATGGGCCACATACTGTACAAATGCACACACTTTTCTTTACAAAAAACATTTTAGAAGCTCCAAGAACATTATTGTGTGCCATAAAACTGTAAAAAATACTTTTGTTTGCCTTTGCTCATTCGTTCTTTGTTCTGTTTCACATCAGTTCAGGGTGTGCACTTGCTACAGGCAGTCTGATATATTGTCATTTTAGTCAGCAGAGCAACACAATAACATTTTATTGGTCATATTAAATGCAAACACTAATCTAAAATGGAAAACACTGATAAAAAGCAAGTTGTTTTTACTCTTTTTTTTTTTTGTGCGAATAAAGGTGTTATTGGAACTGTGCATGATTTTAGTTTAACCACTGAAGTCACATGGAATATTTTGACAGCATTTTGGGGTCTTTTTCTGGACTTTGAATGCCTGACTACGGCTGTCTGTGGAGGATGAAGGAAGCTCATTTGTGTTCAGAAGATGAGTGAAGGTCTCAGGCTATTGACACTTATTAATATTAGAAATTAAATTTTGGGTGTCACGGTGGCGCAGTGGGTAGCACGATCGCCTCACAGCAAGAAGGTTGTTGGTTTGAGCACCAGCTGGGTCACTTTGCAACTCTGTGTGAAGCTTGCATGTTCGCCCAGTGTTCGCGTGAGTTTCCTCCGGGTGCTCCAGTTTCCCCCACAGTCCATAGACATGCGCATTAGGTCAACTGAACAAGCTAAATCGGCTGTAGTGTGTGTGAGTGTGAAACAGTGTGTATGGGTGTTTCCCTGTGTTAGGTTGCAGCTAGAAGGTCATCCACTGTGTAAAACATATGCTAGATAAGTTGGCGGTTCATTCGGCTGTGGCGACCCCTGATTATGAAAGGGACTAAGCCAAAAAGAAAATGAATGAATTAAAAATCTAACCCTTTAAGTCTGAATGAGTGGAAAGTGAAGTAATAAGGGTTTCTGAAATCAATATTCCTTAGACACATGCTAGTGTAATTCACAGGGTGAAGTAAGTTGAATTTTTAAATCAGAAGATTTTTTTTAACTTTGCATATAATGTATGCACAATCTGCATATGCACTTGACTGTTTTGAGCCACTTAGATTGTCAATGAGGTGTTAAACTGAACCAGAACATTGATTTACAGCCGGAAAAGAAACAGAGATGACTAAACTAGACTAGAAACACATATAACTATAAGATTAAAATATATAACTCTATTTTAAATTAGCACAACTCTAGTTTTATCCCTTGAAGTCCACGTGAAATCGAAATTTACAATGTATATTTTGTTAGCACACATTCTTATTCTTTAGGTGAACAATAAATCTGTGCAAGATAATCGACTAAAACAATTTTGTTTTGGTAATCTTCAAAGTCTAAACATTTGCTTCCACATTTAAAGTGGCATTCATTTTTTGTTGATTGTAGCTATTGATAACCAAACCCCTATTACCGTTAGTTTACGAAGAGAGAATAATGAGTAAAAAGAAAACCCTGACCCCTACTCAACAATCCATCTTAGTCGGAAGTACAGTGACTTCCTGAAATAGAAGTCTTAGCAACTTCTGGTTCACTCTGACTTAAAACTTTTAAAAAGCAGATACTGGACAAGGATTAATCTTTCTAATGTGCACGGGTTTCCTCATGCAAGCATGTAACATGCCAACACCCTATTTTAATTCATTATTATAACAAAGGCAGTCACACTTTAATAACAAATGACACCCACAAGACAATCCACCAATCAACACATCTCAAAATAATTAGCTAAATGAGTTGGCTTTTGAATCAGACACCATCACTGAATCATTACTTATTCTCCTGGTCATGAACCGACAGTCATTTTTTGATTATGTCATTTCAATATTAACAAATGTAAATTTATTATCATGTATATACAGTGCATCATGTGAGACCTACATCATCATATTTACCAACAAGATAATCATATGATCATAAATGATTCATCTTCGCAGCAAAGCTTTGTTGAAACAAATAAAAGAACAAAAATGGCGATGTAAAGAAAGCAAGCATGAAAATCCTAAATCTCATGTTGAAACAGATGGCTCCCATAATATTTTGATTGAGATTCATTTTGATTCTGAAAAAAAAATCTCCTCACCTTGAAGTCATAAGTGTAGTTGGTGTAGGGCATGAGATTCCCCTCATAGGCACTCTTCAGCTGGAAACTGTGTGTGATACTGCCATCAGGCTTGCCGTTTTTGCCATTGCAGCTGAAGTTAGTTAAACAGTCGCTGTAGCGCAGTTCTTTAAAGTCTTTGTGATTTTCTGCAACTCCGCCATTGCTCAGATACTCCACCACACCTGCAAGAAAGAGGTCAGGAAAACGAGTGATTCTGAGACAAGAGCTTCTAATCTGAAGCAAAAAATAAAATTGGCTGTTTTTTGACATTCAAAAGATAGTTCACCCCCAAATTAACATTACAAAGCTATAGGTAGTTTTCTGCAACATATTTATAACATGTATGACATGTTATTTTCTATTTTTTTAATTTAATGGAAGTCAAAAATTTGGTTATCAACATTCTTTAAAAAATCTTCTTTTATATTCTTGCAGAAGAAGGAAACTTCAAAAATTTAAACATGTCAGTAAGATTTTTGGGTGAATTATTACTTTAATTTGGTAGCAGGCGAATTCAGTAAGCTTTGTTTATTTGATCCAATTGTAAGGAACAAAAAGGCTAATCAACAGCCACCCACTCTGTAAGTGCAATTTTATGGCTTGCTGAAATATATTAATGTCTTAGATTAGTCTTAACAAAAACTGTAAACAGTAAAGAGACAAATTTACTAACAGCTTGCTTCAATGCTAACTGTCTTTTTAGTTTTACCAAACACACACAGCAGAGAGAAATATCTCTGAAAAGGCACTGACACAGTTACTTTTTTTTAAAATATACATTTGTAAGAGTTTCCCAATTAGACACAAAATTTATAGGATGAAAGTGTTTAAATGTATAGCGCATTGCAATTTAACAACATTTGTGCTTCTCACATTAGATATTTGCGTCATTATTTAATGACTAAAAATATAAATATCACACTTGAAATGGCTACAGTTGTTGTTACCAGGAGAAGACAATACAGGGAACACAGAGCGCATGGTATAAGACTTTTTTTACCCCACACATATTTATTTTGGAATGCCAAAGGAATACAATCGCTCAAATATACTGTTTGCCAAATATGCTATTTTGAATTTGTTTTAAGAAATAAGAGACTACTGGGAAGTAACATCTGAGTCACACAATACCAGCATGATCATGGTTCCCTAAGACAATGTGCAATGTGTTCTCTTTGTGCCTGAAAAGCATGCATCAGATATACTGTAGCTAGTTGTAAGTAAAAATAAAAAGTGCCTTGTGGTCACTCACATTCCTGTCTATTTTGTGAGCATGTCCATTCTTTGACCAGTAAATTTTTTTAGTAAATATTTGGCACAAGGAAATTTGCCACTATTCTAATTTGCACTGTCAATATGTAAATGAGATGTTATATCTTTGTTCTCTAATTGTAGATTCAGTGCTGTTTTGCAATAATGCTCTTGCGTAAAATTGCCCTACTTGGTAAATCTGGCCCAAACATTCCAATTTATTTTCAACATGCACCTTTTAAATATGACTTACCAGAATCTGGGAGGGAGTTGAGATCAGCACACAGGACGATAGGGATAGAGCTTGTTTCTGATGTGGGTGAAGAAGAGTTGATAGATCCCGAGGCCCTCTCAGCGATGCTCTTGAGCTCAGACAGGAACATCATAGTCTGGATGAGCTTCACATCCGAGTATTCTGGATCCCAGTGCATGTGGGCGTTAGCTACAAGCAGGAGCTGTTTCTCTGGAGGTGGCTTTAAGCCTGCAGTACAGTGCCAGGAAAGAAAATGGGATGAGAATATTCTAATAAATAGTATTAAGATATATATACTAGGAGTTGTTGAAATCTTGAATTTGATTGGCTGACGAACAATCTAAGTCTGGGCTTCTCAAAGTTTGGACTCTTTTCGATTTTATATTCAAGAGCACTCTTATGTGTAAGTGAACGAAAGTGTGAATTTCATAGACCTCTGAGCTTTTGGCCACTCCAGAAGCACTTCAAAATGAATGACCATACCCAGAACTAGCGCTTGACATTAATCAAGAATTACACCCTATTTTTTTTTCAAATAGTTTTTTTAAGTAATAAATAACCTTTCTTTTGTTTGTTTGTTTGTTTGTTATTTATTTTTGTTGTTTTGTGTTTTCTCTACTCAGTGCACTTGGATGGTATCTCTTACCAATGTAATATATTTAAATATTGAATATTTTTTTTCTTACTTTATTTGACCTTTGCCACTGAGTGTCTCAACTGTTTTGCTTTTATAAATTGATATTGTATTTTAAAACCAATAAACAAATAATAATAATAATAATAATAATACAGAAAGTGTGCATTTACTTCTTTAATAAACACGTGCTAAACATGTAATCTTGTTTTTTGGCGATGGTCTATAGTGAAAGCGAACTGATGTGGCGCTGTTTTTCAATGTATGATGTTTACCGTAATTGAGAGACACTCTTCAACACAGTGAGCGTTTGAATGGTAAGAATGCCAGTTTCCAGAAAAGAAAAGTCAACAAAAAAACTTTGAGTTTTTAAAGACGATTCATTGGACAGAGAGGTATGCATTGATTTTGCTCCAATCCAGCACAAAACTGTTCTCTTTAATTAGAAATGAGATATTTAAACTTATGAAGAGTGAAAATGTCAAACGGCACTATGAAAGGTTTAGCAGCAGCTGGAATACAGGCAGAGTTATGTCTCACACAGCATTGTATTTTGCACCATGCTACTTTTGAGCTATACCTCAGGTTGTGTTTTGTTCATAAAAATTGCTGACAATTAAATTAAGTTTCAGTTCTCATCTTGCCACTTTTGCACTTGCTATAATAGTATATTTAAATGCAGACTTTTAAAAGGTTAATTAATGTATATGCATGTTTATTTAAAACATGTTCTGTGCTAACAATGTTTTACAGACATTTTTGTCATCTATGAAAATTCAGATTCGGGACTTTGAGAACCCCTGCTCTAAGGTGTGCTCTAAGGTCTTTGGGCAATCCACAGCTACAGTTCCAGGCTGGTTTTGAAAGCATCCTAGTTCCAAATCACTATGGTAGAAAACCTGATGTCTTGAAATACCGAATGAAGCAGAATGAGTTCTGTAATTTTGTAATATTTGAATAAGATTTTTTATTATTAAGGTCATTGCTCCTAATTCTGAGGAAGGCAAGAGCTGAAATTGAAAACAGGAAACTCCCGTTTTCAAAAAGCAATCAATATTGCAATCTTTTGATTACACAAAATATTGTATATTTATTCCACAGAAAAATAGATGAATATGCTGAAAAAGATTAAATAAAGCAGAACTAGGGAGTTATCTGAACAACTGCTGACAATTGAACACATTTAAAGACCTGAAGGCAGTTCAAAAGTTGAAATACATCCAATCAACCAAAAGTATGCAAACTGAAGAATTGTTTACTTGGGTATAATAGAAATTTAAGCTGTTATCACTAAAATCCAACCTACAGCACTGAATTCAGCTTTGTACTTTTATGTTTATGTTTGACTTTTTGACAGCCATAAAAGTGATTTCCTTTGATTTACAGCTGTCTTTAAAAAATGGCTACGGATGAGTTTTTATTTGAAGAGCAATTACTTGAAGACATCGTTCAAGCAAAAATCTAAATTTAATCAAAATGTACTCACCATATACTTGTTCCAAACCTGTTTAATTTTTTATACTTATAATATAGTTAGAATAATGTTGGAAACCAGTAGCCATGGATTTCCATAGCGTTTTATTTTACTATACTACAGATGTCAGATGTTATATTATACTCAAGTGGCTACTAGTTTCCAAGTCTTCAATTTATATTCTTTTGTGTTCAACAAACAAACAAACAAAAAAAAAATCATAAAGCTTTGGATTCACCCAAGGATAAGTAAATGCTAAAGAAATGTAACTTTTTGTGGAAACCATCCCTTCAACTTGATACACATAAGTAGAAATAAATACTATTTATTAGATACATTGCATGTGTGCAAATGCTACAAAATGTTTAATCATTTGTTGACTCCAAATAAATTCTACTATGTTTTAATGCACTGTGTTGCTTTTTGTGATCTTAAATTCATTTTCAGGGACAATAGTTATTGCTGTCATCCCATGTAAACAGTTTAAACTTTGTGATCTGCTTCCACCTACAGGCTAAACATCAGCATTCAGCAGCCTGTGGTGGACATTCAACCCGACCAACATCCAAAGCTGAAATACATTATTGTACATATTTAAATACCATTTTGTCCTAAATTAAGCTTAAAGTCATTTTGGTGTGGACATGACTAACAAATAGAAACGTGATAAAATGTGCCGTGGTGGCCATGTACCATTTTATTAATCAAAGAATACCATTCTTTCCTTGGCCTCTAGTTTAAGTGTTAGGAAAATTGCTCAGTCTATTTTATGTGCATGTTTTCATCTGAAAGTTCATTTTTAGAGTCCTCATCTGTAAGGGGGCTATGAGATGTGTCCTGCTAGATGTTAAACAGACATTTATAAACTAAATAAAAAGAATATTATAATATTTAAATAAATAGTAATTTTTCTTTTTCGAGCAAAAGCATAATTTATTGTGTTCTTACAGCCTTTTTAAATGTTTATTTATGACAAGTTCAACAACATTGCTCAAAATATTTTAGGCCAACTAGTCTACCCAATGTTGGCTAGAGCATAATCATTTCTTAATTTCTGCAGGAATTTTACCAGGAGTTCACTTTATGCAGCATTTAGATTAGGCTATAATTTTTTGTTAGGTTAAATTTGCTTTTCATTCACTGCTAAATTTTAAAGTGAAAAAATTACTGCCTTTATTGTCAGGTATTTACAGTAGCCTATTCAAAATGAAAAATAAAAAATAAATAAAACATATAGCCTCATAAGCCTACTTTGTAGGTGAAAATTAGCCTATGTTACAATAAATAAATAAAATAAATATATATATATATATATATATTGCCCATAATCAATTATAATAATAATATTGATACAAATATGTAAACAAAATATAAATATGTAGACAAATGTTACGCAAAAAACAATCATTTAATGAATTTACTGAATTGAGGTATGAATTCAAATATTTTATTCTGTGCATTTTGTTATTTTAGCATTTATTAATGCTTCATTCCAATGTTGTCTGAGTGACATCACACTATGTATTGTAAGCTTTATCGGACATTATGCATATACATCCTAAAAAAAGTCTTCTTTTATCATTCTTGATTCTAAATTAGATATATGTTTATTAATACTATCTATTTGCTATAGTTACTTTATGAGGTTTGGAACTAGAATTCACTATTATGAAACATCTGAATAAGATCTTTCATTATTAAGGTCACTGCTCCTAATTCTGAGTAAAGCAAAAGCTGAGTTTAAAAACAGGAACTCAATCTATATCGCAATCTTTTTGATGACACAAAAAATGTACAATTATTTCTCATAAAATTAGTTATGCTGAAAAAGAAGAAATAAAGCAGAATTAGGGTGTATCTGAATGACTTACAAGTGAACTTAAATGATCATTGGAAGATCAGACAGCAATTCAAAGGACTATAAAATACATTATAATAATTAAAAGTAATTCATATCGAAGTCATTCTGCAATTGTATATTCAGGCATAACAAAAAGAAAATGTAACCAATTACCACTAAAATCAAACCCACAGCCCTGAATTTAATCAAATTATCTAATAATTATGTTTTAATGATTATACAATTTTGACAGCTACAAAGATTATTTAATTTAATCACAGCTTTGTCTTTAAAAATGTCAACTAATGTTTCAATATTCAGGTATTTAAAGGGTTTTAAGCTGTAAACTCATAGCGTAGAAAAGGATAATTTTCTTATCATATGATCTCAAGGACAAAAGAAATTATCGGATTTATAAGAGGTAGCCATGACAAAGCTAAATTAAGCGCACATCAAAGGTTGCTATTAGGTATGCTCATTTCGGTTAATTTTGCTTACCGACAACCGCAGCTCATTAATCGGTTATTACCGGTTAACTGGTCAGATTACTCTTAATTTTATATTAAACAAATTGACGTGTCTATTTTGTGTCTGACACATTAAATATTGCATTTTAAAATACTGATTTATTTTTATATACTAGCATATTAATAATAGAACATAACAACAGAGCATCTTCACGCACCTGCAGTGTTTAGCACAGAAGAACAGAATAAACTAAATAAAATAAATTAAATAAATAGGACTGCCCTAGATTATTTTCACTTAAATAATTTATTTATATTACAAAAAGAAAATACTGACTGGTTCTTTTTAATAACCAGCATAGGCAGTTTTTTTCCAATCATATTTTTGTCTTCCGTCAAATAAAAATAGCTGACTTCCTCAAATTGCTCGCTCCACTGAAAATTTGCATTTATTTAATGCCCCGCTGTTATTATTATAATCACAAAACCTTTTACATTTTTAATAGAAATTATTATTTTAAAGATTATATATTGATATATGGTTTCCTCTCTCTCCCTCGCGGTTCAAGTGCGCGCGCTGCGAGATGAAAAGACAACAACAACAACAACGCGCGCATATGTGGACATTTTGTAAACAGTTTTGTTGTTTAAATATGATATTGCATTAATGTGCATACATGCTTTATATGCTATAAAATAAAAGGTAAAGCCTATTTGTTGCGTTTATGACGCAGATCCAGGTCAACATAAGCGCTTTTTTGGCATCAACACGTCTGTTTCAAACAGCAATATTCTTCTTCCATTTTGCTTCTTTGGCAAATGTGTCTGTAGCCACGGGTTATACGTTATCGTCCCACTAGTTAAGTATGTCTTGCAGTTAAACAAGTAGCCGACACATCTAACGTGCTTTTTTTCCTTCCAAAAACACAAGGCGCATCTCACTGCCTTTATGTTGACAAGGAAAAAAGAAGAGAAGAAAGCGCGGTCCTCTTATGAAACGACTGAATCAGCTGGGTATCGATTGTGCAAAAGTGTTGCTGTATATGTTGTTACAATTTTAATATTTAATAATATTGTGATATTCAAGATTTGTACATTCATACAGCTCTGGATAACTTAAAACAGCGATTAGACCTTCAGAGCGGTGTTAATGCGTCCTGAAGTAAAGCGAAACGGCTATAAACTCCAGCAAGATAGAGTGATTATATGCGAGTCATACTTTATCTATAAATAGTACAAGTATAACTATAGAAACTGTGTTCATCTCAACTAAAAGCTTCTGCGTGTTTGCTGGCCTAACGCATCGCGCACCTGTCAGTCAGTCAGTAAGTCAGCACGTAACCCCAAAGGATTAAACAGATAGCGCACAGCACTATACGGTTACAGAAAAGTTTGCGCTGTTATAATCCACTTACCTTTTAGTACGTTTTGATGCGATTATAATCCGCTATTAAAAACAACAACAACAATAACTGAATGTTTTGAAAGGGTAATGTAGCCGTGACGGGATGCATTTTGGTCCCCGCCATGGAAGAATAAATGTAGCGTAAACCAAACTCTTTAGAAGTTCTCTGTAGTTGTCTTGACAACACAAACTGCTGCTCTGGGATGAGCCGCGTGCAAAAGATGCCCCTCTTAACGCAAAGGCGGGTTCAATCGGCCCCTTATGCAGCCAAACTAAAAATATATAAAATAATAATTTTAATCGTGTAACTGATAGTATTAATCGGTTACAAACGCACCCTTTCGGTTAACGGTTAATCGATTATTTTGAGCATCCCTAGTTGCTACATCAAATATATAAATATAATACTATAATAAAGCATATAATCCATTTTATGTAGACCATGAGAGTGCTGTAAAAGGCTTGTGTTTCTGGAAAAAAATGTAATTGGGGGTCGGATGATGTATTCTCGATATAGGCATGACTTCTGACATCAAATATGAATGTAGACAGGGTCCTAAAAATGTTTAATCCTGTATGATTTTCTTGATTTTATTATATTTTAAAGTAAGCTGAAAACTTGTAAATATTGGCTTCCATAATTGCAAACAGAAATACTATGGAAGTAAATGTTTACAGGTTTCTATTTTTTTCTTTAAAATATCTTCCACTGTGGTTAACATTTGAAAGAAACTCAAACAGGTTTGGAACAAGTGAAGGGAGAGTAAACGATGACAAAATATTCATTTTGGGTGAACTATGCCCTTTAAGTAATAATTCAGGATTCTTACCAGTAGCAAACAGGTCTTTCTTCACCTCCAGCAGGACGGCTACTCCGATGTTATCTTTGGTCATAACTCTGTTTAGCATAACCTCCGAGCCCTCTGAGTTCGCCATGGCTACTTGATTGAACTCCACTGTGTGTTTCTGCACCAGAGCAAATCTGAAAAAAAAAAAAAAAGGCAAGATAAGCTTTTATGAATGTTTTTAGGCAATAATCATACTTCTTTGGGTAACCAGGTACAACTTTTTTCCTAATTCTGGCTCTATCTTATGCAACTAAGCGCTGAAATCCTTGTTAGGAGCATTTCCCCAGGAAATAATGTGTGCGTGACTGGTGTGAGCCCAAGAGCATGCCATCTGGCGTCATCACCTCACTACGATAACAGCTTTTAAGGCATCCCGCGATTTGAAAAAGTCAGGGTTTTCAAGCAAAACTTTTCTGCTATACCTTCCCACAGTATGTAGAAGTTTTTTTTACGTTTTTTGTTGCTCTTGTTTTTTTTAGGACAACAGTATCTTCAGCAGAAAATATATCCAAATATGCCATTTTAAATTGTAAAGAAATCTGTGTTTTTAAAACTCATGAAGACAGCAGAAGTCCATAATTCATTTTAATTATTTAACCTGACATGCTTGCTGCTCCAAAATATAAAAAATGTTTTGAAAAAAAATAATAAAGGGGAAAATTTTTTCGCTTTTCTACCCAGATATTTAAAAAGAATATATTTTAGAGCAGTAATCACTATAACATGAAACTAATATTTTTATCCAAGGTTATCATACCGTCAGAATCTTAAACCGGCCCATGCCTATTTAGAACAGGTCAATTTAATCATTTCCACGGCAGCAGGTCTGGTATATGACATGACAGAGCCCCATTCACTGTAAGGCATATTAGAGCTGCTGAATTTACTAGTATACGTCAACCAATGTCTGCTAAACTTCATGAAAATAAGTGGCTGTTTATGTAGGAGAAAATAGAGAGAATGAGCTAGTTGTCCAAACAGTGTGTATCTGTTGTGAATGCCAGTGTAAGTATGTGTAAAATAACTACTGTTGCTGCATTCTATAGACATCGGTGTGCATTTTACGAAAGCATTTTTTAAGTTAGTAAACCTGTGTTTAAGAATGTCTGCAACCTAATGCAGAGTTCAGACTGTGTGATTTTGACTCGCCAACATGTTTTGGTAAATCAGCGACAAAAGCCTGAAATCACAGGCAAATCTGTGCTCATTCACGCGAGTAACAATCACACAATGTGAACTATCAAAGATGCGATCTGAGAGAATCGAGATGAGTCGCCAACACTCAAGAGATGTTTGGCGTGCCAAATATCTGAACCTGTTTGCGATTTAAAGTGATGCATTGTGCAATGTGTTCTGATTGAAAATAACATCATTGATTACCTACAGCCACGAGAGAGCAGCATCCACTAGTATGCCAGCAGGTTGGGGGAGAAGTTAAAAGTGCTTATTTTTGGTCTATGTTTTGGTCTATGTTGTCCTTTTGACCTGACATCTGAGCAATACCACAACTGTGTCGAAAAAGAAAAAAAAGGGAAATTGCTAATTCTCTTCAAAAGCCAAGCTAACATTTTCACCCCGCTATTGGCTTCTTTCACATTATGTAGTTAACAACAAAATATATACTATGTGACCTCGCATTATTTCAATGTCATTTCTCACATGTTTGGTTGTAAGAGGTAGTTTGCAGACCAAGATAAAGTTGTTATGCAGTGTGAAACCCCTTGTCGCCGATTCATCCTGCAGTGTAAATACAGCACCGACAGAATGCTCCCACAGATAGTCATGCAGTGTGAAAACATGTGTGATGCCACTACTTTGAAAATTGTGCAGTCTGAACTTGGCATAAGTAAACGTTTTAATCTTTGACAAGCGCTGCACTTGTGCTTCTCTCCCTGGCTCAACTCCAGCCATTGCTAGGGCTGATTTCTCATTTTGTCTCTGAAGCTGCCACGCTTGCACACTTTAGACTCCATCCATGGCACAACACTCATTTTCTTTCAGAGAGAATCGGAAAGCTGTAACTTTGACCTAAAAGTATTCAAAAACTAACTACTTTTTGTTTTTTCAGAGAAAGTATAGATGCAACAGTACTGTATATAGAAAATCAAGATTAATATGAGACTGGGAAAAAGTGAGCTTGATACATTCCCTTTATACCCTGTAAAACAGTGAAAGGAGATCCTTACTTCTCGGTCTTGAAAAACACACCACAGCCATCCACATGTTTACGCTCCTGTTCTGACACGAGTTTGGCACGAGACTTTGGACAGAAAAATCCATCATATCCACGATCTTTCAGTGTTTCCAGAAAGAAAGTGTAGTACTGCTCGGTTTCCACCTCCTGTATATGAGAAATAGAGCAAACATATTGCAGATATCGAAACAGAACACACAAGTCGAGGAAAAAACTGTTTTAAAATGCATTTAACACTTTAGCATTATTGTTTCCCTACTTTTTATAGAAATTAGGCATGAAAGGTGCACTAACTAATGGTTAACTAACTAACTAACTCTGGTTTTTCCAGAATTTGCATTTAGTAAAAACCAATTGACTGAGCAATAATCCACTATAGTGATCAAAAGTGACAAATAAATACTTTTAAGTTATGAATGAATTCTATTTTGAATTAATGCTGTTTCTTAAGAAATATGTAAAAAAATAATAATAATAATATTTCAAAAAATTCTTTCAATATCTTACATAATTTGTTTGCTGTTTATCGGATCCAAAAAATATTGAGTATAACAAACTAAAATCCTTCCAACCCCAAACTTTGTACATTTTGATGACAGAACATACAGTCCTACCTGCAGGCTGATGATGTCAGCGTCACAGTTGGTGATCTCCTCCATAATGCCCTTCTTCCTGTACTCCCAGTTAAGGGCCCATGAAGGACAATAGCCATACAGCTGCCTTGTTGCATACTTGTCGCACAATACATTGTAGCACATTACTGTGAACACAGCTTGGGAACACAGACATTTTATGTTTGCTTCACAATTGCTAAATCAGAAAAAAAAGTTGCTGACAGGATACTAGCAGGTACCTGTGGGCATCATTTGGTCTCTCTCCCTCAGAGTGATCCAAGGTCTTTGGGGGAGTTGTTCTGGGTGGACTAATTTTGAGGAAACCATGCAAGTAAATTAATCAATAATTATTTGATTAGATTATCTGTATTCAATTAATCACTTACTCTGCATCTGCATGCATTATTACCTGCAAGATTGTCGAGCATGTAATTTAATAATTTCCTTGTTCCATCAGGCTCCTGATACAGGTTGAGTATATCCTGGGACAATGGATTACCTGGAAAATTAACATTTGTATTACTTGTATTTATATGGAAATTTATATTTATTTTACATTTTTATACAAAACATAAGCATATACACAAACAGTTGAAGGGATAGTTCACCTAAAAGTGAAATTCCATCATTATTTACACCCCAGTCACTTGTTTCAAACCTGTTTGTGTTTCTGTCTATCGTTGAGCACACACACACACACACACACACACACACACACACACACACACACACACACACACACACACACACACACACACACACACACACACACACACACACACACACACACACACACACACACACACACACACACAAATATTCTCAAGAATGTTGCAAAGCTACATTCTTCAAGATATTTTCTTTTGTGTTCTGTTCATCTGAAGAAAGCAACTCAAACAGCTGTGAAACAAGTGAATGGGGGAATAAATAATGATGATAAAATATATAAAAAATAAACACCCCTTTAAGCTCTTTCTAACTTGAATGAACCTGGGATATTTTCAAAGGTAACCTATTGTGCAAAAATCACTTTTATAAGAAGTCTGGGTCACACTTTACAATAAGGTTCATTAGTTAATGTTAATTAATGCATTTACTAACATGAACAAACAATGAACAATACATTTACTACTGTATTTGTTCATGTTATTAAACATTAGTTAATGAAAATACAGTAGTTCATTGTTAGTTCATGTTAACTCATGGTGCATTAACTAATGTTAACCAGCATGGACTTGGATGTTAATAATGCATTATTAAATGTTCAATTATGATTAATAAATGCTGTACAAGTGTTGTTCATGATTAGTTCATGTTAGTAAATGCATTAACTAATGAACCTTATTGTAAAGTGTTACCCAAGTCTAAACACACCCAGCTTCTAATTGTAAAATGTAATTAATCCATTATAATCACACTTGATAAAAACAGTCTGCAGCAACACTTTAATTGACCTTCTAACTTTGTACATGTCATCAGAGGGGGAAAGCCCCAACCATTAGTGGCAATCTCTCCCTCATTAATCTAGACAGCCCTGAGTAAGAAGCAATCGTCCGCTTTTAAATTTTCACACTGTACCTGCTGAATTTAATGTTAAGTAGAATTATAAATGAGCTTTAGGATGCACAAAAAGTCTCTGAAAGACTGCCTTCCTCTGAGACACTTTTGACATTTTTAGTTTTCACAGAGAAACATTTAGTCCTGTTTTGAATCTAACACTATGTGGATTCTGAATAGAGGGCAGGGAGAACCATCACCTTTGAATATAAGGTGACAGTCAACAAAATAGTACAATTTGGATAAAAAAAAATTCAAATACATTTGTGCTGAAACTTTAGCTTCACACTCTAGGGACATCAAAGACCTATTTTACATCTTGTAAAAAGGGCATAACAAGTCTTTTTAAAATGGGAGATCACATGCACAACTGTAGTCATTTACATAAAACACATAGAAAGCATAACTACGAACTCAGCACAAACTTTCCTTTAAAGGTCACCTATGATGAAAATCATCTTTTGCAAGCTTTTTGGACAGAACTGTGTAGGTATAGTGTGTCCACAGTCATACTGGGGTGATATAAATATTTTGAAATTTCCTGACGTTAAAATAGGATCAAAATCCCTCCCATTTTGAGGCCGACTGCAACGTGACATGGGAGTGCAGCTTTTCCTCCCACCGAATTGATTGACAGGCACACTACGACAGGCACGTGGGAATGGTGGGTGGGGAAAACTAGAATTTAAGGCACAGGCACCAAAAACAGCTACATAGTGTTCAGAGCAGAAAATTCTAATGTTCTAAGGGCTATAATGAAAGCTGAAAATTTACAGACACATCCTTGAGTCACAAAAGACTTATCTTAAATCTTATAAAATGGGTAAAATAAGTGCCCTTTGAATCGTTTATTCATTCTTGTCAAACACATGCCGTCTTTTACAAATGCAGTCTGCATAAAACAATAAAGCTATTTTAACAGATGGAGCATACAGAGCTCTCGTTAGCCAGCTCTACATGCATATAAATCTGTGTTGAAACCTCACAGCTCTATTTATAATGAAGCTTCTCCTACCTTAAACAATATTAATCATGTTAAATTTAAAGGATTTAGATTTAAAGTCTGCATGAACAAAAAGTTGCTGTAAACTTTTATGTCACTGTTTTTATTTATTTCCAACTGAAATAAAGTAATAAGTTGTGGGTGGGGTTTTATTTATGTAGTAGTAGTAGTAAAACTTTATTGTCCTTGACAGGAGATTTGTTTTGGGCATCGCCATATTGCTGCAGACACTCACTAAACAAGCAATAAAAAAACAGTATAAAATACAACAATTACAAAATTTATGGTGCCAATTAAGATATACTCTTATTAAGTAAACCCACTGACACAGGTACAAAGGATTTCTTGTAACGGTTTAACCTACACTTTGGGACTCTATATCTTCTACCAGAGGGAAGCAGTTCGTACTGGGGAAACAAAAAATGAGTTGGATCCTTTACAATCCTATCCACCTGATTGAGGACACAGTTCTCATATAAAACTTGAGGATTAAAATTTTCATTGTGCCCGACAATTTTCCATGCTGTCTTTAAGAGATGCATCAGTTTAGATTTACACTGAACAGAAAGGTTGCCAAACCACCCTGTAATGCCATACCTGACAATGCTTTCAAGAACTGCTTTATAAAACAGCATCATGAGCTTCTTGTTGACTCCAAAAAGACGCAACCTCCGTAAAAAATACAATCTCTGGTGTAAACGAGAACAAACCCAATCAATGTGTGTTTTCCATGTGAAAGAACTGTCGATATGAATGCCCAAGTACTTATAGGTTTCTGACTGAGTAATAGGATCATCATGTACAACCACTTGACGATGGTCACCTATGCACTTTGGGTCAAATACCATCTCTTCTGTTTTCTTAGTATTTATTTTTAACTTATTTCTATCACACCAATCAATGAACTGACTAATTTCTGACTGATATATAACCCCAATATCATCCTTCTCATAAAGTAAACTTAAAATGGCTGTGTCATCAGAGTATTTAAAAATAAAATTCTGTGAATGCTTACTTATACATTCATTTGTAAAAAGTGTAAAAAGAATAGGTGAACTGACACAGCCTTGTGGAACCCCAGTACTACTGTTCTTTTCCTCTGAACAGATGTTTTTAACCTTGACAACCTGAGTTCTGTTTGTTAAAAATGAGAAATACCATTTGCATATGAATGGGTTTATATTCAGCTGTTCCATCTTTTCAATTAATAAATGTGGTTGGATCGTATTAAAAGCGGAACTAAAATCAATAAAAAGCAGTCGAGCATAAGCTTTAGGATTGTCTAAGTGCTTAAGAATCAAGTGCGAAATACTATTAACTATGTGCTCCTCCTCTTATCTTTCACTCGCAGTAAACTAATACTTGGAAGGGCGTTAGATGTGTAAAGGGCACAATTTACACATCTATGCATTTAGCAGATGCTTTTATCTAAATTCACTTAGATTCAAATTCACTTAGATTTAATCCCTGTTTCAGAACAAATGAATGGATTCACAGGTGTGAAAGCACCCAAAATATTAATATACGGCCATTCCAGAGTAAAAGCAAATGGGTAGATTTTGATTAAATAAATTAAATTGCTCAAATTAGGTGTTTATCTTAAGATTACTGATGAGTGTAAGCAAAACAAACACTGTACATTTTGAGTTGATGCAGACTTTAAAACTGATTTGGTGATCTGATCTGCCAAGGGTTTGTGGTTTATACATTAGTGTGATTTCAGTTTTTGCAAAACCTTTGCAGATTCTGAACAAATATTTATTTAAAAGTATTGAATAATCAAGATTTGTTTGTGAAAATGTTATTGTTTTAGGCTATATAGAAAAAATTGCATGCTAATTGATCATTGGGAAAAAAATCTAAATTAATAAAAATTAATAAAATAATAATAAAAAGCTTCACCTTTGAGGCCGAGGGTTTGCAATTGGAACAGCCGACCAAGTTCATAAGGCAAAACTCGTAAACAATTGTTATTCAAAAGCAATTCCCTGAAAGAAAAAAAGATCATATAACAAGATGTCTGTGTAGTGTAGCCCAAATAAATCCTTTAAAGAAGCACTATTAAGTACTGCTGAGTAACTACATCCTACTTGATTTATGAAAAAAAACACTTTTAGTCTATTTTAAATCGTTGAAATATTTAGTATTGATGTTTTGATGTAACCCCAAAATAATTATTTTTTCAAACACCAACTGTCTTTAACAACTTAAAATAATGTTGATGTTGTTGTAGTTAAGTTTAAAGTTTTAAATGTGTAATAAAACATTTAACAGCATAATTTCATGACTACCTTTTTTCAATTCAACTTTCAATTCAAGATGAAGCTGAATACAAAATAAATATAATTCCATAAAAGATTCAATTTCATAAAAAAATACATAAAATACACAATTATTGTAAAACTACAATTTCTTTTATGTAGGTTTATAACTAACTTTATCCAAAACAAAACCAAACCAAACCAAACCAAACCAAACAAAACAAAAAACAACAAAACAAAACAAAATCACTGTCCCAAGGCATACAAATTGGGCAGTCCAAAATGTAATAATGCTGAAAGGTCAACTACCTAATTAAACAATCTTATTTAGCCAACAGAAATGGAGTGATTTCAAATGTACCTGAGAGTCACCATGTTGCCGAGTTCTGCTGGCAGGCTGCGCAGTTTGTTGGAGGACAGGTTCAGGTAGACGAGATGGGGCAGCTTTGCGATTTCTGGAGGAATCCGGCTCAGGTTGTTGTTGTTGATGTGGAGAGCAGTCAGATGGGTCAGCGTCCATAGTGAACTGCTCAGGCTTCTGACCCGCCCTATACCATCAAAACACAGACCGACATTAGGTAGACTATATAGATGTTCTAGACTGCGGTCACTCCACATAATTCCACATATAATATGTAAAATTTTGCGTCTACTGTACTTTTATGCAAATATTGCAATTTTATCAAGATAACGGTAAAGTTCTTTTAAAGGGATGATTGATGATGATTTCACTTATTTAACCTAAGTTAGAGTGTAATGTTACTGTTTAATCATATTCAACATCTGCAAAAATAAGACAATCAATAAATTTTTTTTTAAAGAATTAAATTTTTATGGTCTACAACAAATGGCTGGTAGGAACTACAATGATCTTCTTCCTGGGTTTGTGACAACATTTTAAAAACCTACTACAATGGATGTGATGTTTCATCCAATATGATCTAGGTAAGGGCAGCCTACTAATTTATATTATAATGTAAAACACAGAGAAGTGACAATAATAACTTACCAGAAATCTCCAACTCGGTCCAGTGTGATTTCTTTCCACTGGCCACTTCCTCGGCTGACATGATGGTGTATAATCTGCGTGGGTCTGGAGGATCATATTTTTCCTTTGGCATGCCTGTTAATCTGGAGATCCATGCAGAAAATGAGCGATTAGTCAAGAGTTTCTCCCAGATACAGCATGTCATTCAGGTCATTTTTTCCAAAAACAAATATTCAAACAAAGAATCATCAATAATGAGAAAAAGCTGGATGTCTGATATGCGAGTAATTGGCAGTGTGACCGTTGATGTAATGACACTTCAGAAATGCTTAACATAATGCAAATCAGACAACAAACATATCAGCTCTCATACTTTGCACTTGTGTGTGTGTGTGTGTGTGTGTGTGTGTGTGTGTGTGTATATATATATATATATATATAATAATATTATAATAAATATAAATAAATATTGCGATATGGGATATTTTCACAAGATAAACTAAATAGCACTATTTTATGGTTTTCTACTAAGTCTAACAGTATTCAGGTACAGAAATTTTTGTTTTCAATTTTCTTTACTTTTCAAGTTTTTCCTTAATACAAACAAAACTATCTGTCAGTGGGGCAAGTTAAATAACCTTGTTTATGTTTTGAAATGTAGATATTTGAACAAGAAACGAGAAAAAATTTCAAAGTAATATATATATACTTTATAAACTTGGAATATTCTTTCAGCAGACCTGTTTAAGATGTTTATCAGACCTTTAAACACAGCAGATGTTTTCCAGACCAAACAATCTTAAAAAAAAAAACATCTTGCAGATGTATGTGCTAAGTGGGTTTTGGTAAATAAAATAATTTAATCATCTGCTTTAATGAGATATAAATACACACATTCTCTGACTTTCTAATACAAAAATTATGTACCGGTATCCACGCTTTCAATTGAACTAAGATTTAAGATTTTTAACAGACTTTCTATTTGGGAATAAAGATACATCAAAAACAACATTTAATAAAATAAAAAAGGTTTCCCATTGTTTTCTACTCTAGTGTCTATTCTATATTCTTCCTCTGAAGGTAAAGTCAATTTTTTTTTAAACAATCGAATGTGCTGAATTGATTATCAAAATAAAGTTAATCATGATACATTTATTTTCAAAATTTTAAAAAGTTCAGCATTCATTTGAAATAAATCTTTTGTTACATTCAGTAAAGGATTAGTTCACCCCTAAAATGAACATTATGCGATTAATTACTCACAAAAACAATGTCATTCAAAACCCTGCACACCTACAGTACATGCATCTTCAGAACACAAACTAAGATGTTTTAGGTTAAATCTGAGAGCTCCCTCAACCTCCATAGACACACATTCAAAGTACAGAAAAATACCCCAAAACCCCACAAAGCAGACCATATGCTAGGGGTTCAATCTGAATAATCAAACTTCAAACTTTTGTACGCACATTAACCCAAATAACATCTTTTTCAACAGTTTCTTCTCTATTATAATAAATATATATATATATATATTTGTGTGTGTTTTTAAGGCATAGACTGTAGGAATTTGAAGCACACTTGAGCCACATGTGCACAATAAATCAAACTTAGCTAATGAAAAGATTAATTGAACATTATATAATTACTTAATTAAAACAATACAGTGTTAACATTATTATTATTATACAGTGATTATTTCTGCTTCTGAATATTGCTGGACTCCCAAAAAAATTATAAATTATTGTTTATTTGCATCTTTTGTCTATTGTGTTTAACTATGTGTGTCATTTTGAAATCATATTTTATGCAGATAAACTCCCAGAATAATCCCAATCGATCTAAAAATATAAATTTTTTACAAGCTGTTCAAGTCATATAGTGAAATTGCATTTATATTAAAATATATACCGCAATGAATTACTTTATTGCAAATCTAATGCAGTTTTTTTTTCCAATTTCATGCAGCCCTAATATATATAAATATATATACATCTAACTCCAACCTTTTGCACAATATTGTATATCTTTTTTTCTAGAGAAAATGGGCCAGAGCAAGTGATCCTGAGTGTTTTCTGATAGAGCGACAGTCAGACAGACAGCTGATGTTTACTCTGAGACGCTGAACTGTTGGAGTAGTTGATATCTCTCATGCTGAGCCAAAACATTGCGGCAATCTAGGGCACTTACAGAGTTTAACTAAGTTGAACTTTTAGAGACGTTGAAGACGTTTCTTATCAACTCATTTCAGCTGTAAAAGCATGAAAGCAAAACCGCCTATTAATAGGTAAAGCCACCAACAAGAGCTTTTAAATGCCTTATTTGCCGTGTATACAGAAAAAAAAACACACATGCGCCACCCTGTAATCATTTGGTTGCAGCTGTTACATACAGACCAGAACATACTGCCAACTCTCTAAGCCGTCTGGGTAGAACATATCCTACTTCTGCTCGTCAATGTTTTCTTACATGCAGAACTTCAGGGTGATTTCATTTAAAATTAACTTTGAACTAGCTGTCATTTCATATTGTTTCATTTTGTATCAGTCACTAGACTACAGTAATGCACAGCAATAATGAGACCCCCAAAATAACAATGCCAGTGACTCGCGACCCCCAATATCTTCTGAGGTGGTTATCAATACAGAAACCTTGCATGCAATGGTGCACACACACCAATAGACCCAAGTCTATTCTTTGTTGCATTTTTTATGTATGACAGTGCTGTAAATGTGGCAGAAAGTTTAACCTGGTGCTATAAAATTAATCTGCTGCATCTGACGCCATTGCTGTGTCTTTAATATAATGTAATTACACCAGGGGTCGCGATCCAATAGAACTATAAACTAAGATAGTAACTATTTACAGTACTATATAGTAACTATAAACGCCTATTTTTTTCTTTTCAGTAGGTTGTAGATAAAATATGGTAATTCTTATTGTTTAGTAACGATAAATAGACTTGAAAATCACCAGACGACCCCCATTCATTGTCTCGCGACCCCCACTTTGAGAACCACTGCTGTACAGTAGACATGTGTGATTTAATATATTGATATAACCAGCATGCATGATATTGACAAGTCAAAATACAGAATAATAATTTATTATTTAACCTCTGACTTACTCTCAAGCGTTTTGAGATCCGTGTATTGGCATTTGCTTCATCACAACACACCAAATGTTTGAAGACTTAAGAAGGCATTTATTTTTAAATAATTACATCCGAGATATTGATTGAAAATGTTCTGATTTTTTATAGGCCTGTTGCTGTACATTCATAATAAGGCTTCATCTGTTAACATTAGTTAATGAAACCAAACTGATGATGAAAACTAATTTTAAGGCATTTATTAATCTTAGATGATTTTGATACATTAATGTTTAGTAACTATTAATTTTAGATTTTTTAAATCAATTTTAATTTTAGGAATTTTAAATCTTGATTGTAATTAATGCATTATTACCACTTAATAATGAGACCATAATGTAAAGCTGACCTTTTTTACTTTAATAATATAGGTCCTGTTAGAGCAATACACAACTTTTTATCATTTATTACACCTGCTAAAGTGGTCTAATCCTTTTGTATGTTATGGCTATACCATCTTTATACTATTGTGATAAAAGTTTCAGCAGTTATGAAATAATAAAATCTGATACAGTAATGTGTACTACATTTATTGTGTATTACGTGTGCACTTATGTTTTCTGTTCACTGTTGGGTGTGTTTTTGTAAATTCTGCTATCTGCAACTGTCACTAAACCGAAGTGTTCATAAAAGTTGTCAGGCTGAACATTGTGGTGTGTAATATGCAAATGAGCCCTGGCAGCTGAGGCTTTACGTAACCCTCATTTAAAGTTACTAAGTAACTTCTATGAATAAAACAAACACAATGTCTGAACTTTACCTTCTTGCACGTGCTGTTAAAACTCGTCCTCGAAGTGTCGTGGCGTGTTTCGCATTACAGCGAGTCACCACAGTTGTCAGCTACTCAAATAGCGGGCTTTGTTATGTAAGGCTATTATTAGCTGTTCTTGCCTGCGCAGTGAAGGCAAAAAGTTTTGATCTCTTAAACATGGGTGATTTAGATGAAATAAGTTTAGCTGGCGAGCTGAGCTGACAAGCAGAACATGACAAGCAGGAGCAGGTCTGGCCATGTCACCCGCTCCAGCTCAGACGGTCCTCGGCATCTCCAAATACGGTCATGTGTAAATCAGCACAAACGATGAGGCGCGCAGTAGGTTGAAACACTGTTCTCTCGTGTTTATTAAGTTACAGTTCACACACATTATTGTCTCAGCTGATCTTCAGAAGGCAGAGCTGGAGACGTCAGGCGTTTTTGACACTCAACGATATAAGCAACGCAAAACACCACTCCGAAATGCAGTTGGTCAGTTCTTACCTGCATTCGGGAGGTGGGAGAGGAGCTGCTGGTGTGTGATTTAATCAGAGACATACAGACAAACTGTGACCGATCCTCATCCTGAGAGTCGGGCAGGAGGAAGGACAACAGTCTGAGCTTCCGCTCCGGTCCACGCTCCCCTACAACTAGGGATAGGTGGTCGACTCATTTTGACGAATCGGTTCTTTCGAACGAACAGTTCAATAAACATATTTGATTATATATTGATATTATTTTCTTTAAAATATAAAAAACAAGATTACCTTGAGTTGTAAATACTATAATATGTACACTATAATACACCTTTCTATAATGTGATTTGAAAACACTATATATTTACTATGCATAGACTATATATTTATTTTTCATATTCTCCTAGATATACATTTTTACACATAATAAAAGGCTATTAATTTAGTAATCGCCAATATCCTATTCAAGTCGTAGGCTCTGAGTTTGCCTTAAACATTTTTTTATTTTGCTATCGGACAGTCCTGAAAGCTGGTGGTCGGTTCAGTGTATTTGGTGACTCGTTAAGTTCGGTTCAATGGTTCAATCGAGTCATTGAAAAGATCCGACTTAAAAGATTCATGAAATTCTCTAGTGGTTGTGAACACTGCTCTTGTGATTTAAGTTTTCTTTGTACGCTTACTAAAACACACGAAATATTTGTATTTATTAATTAAATGACCACAAATTGTACATTTTTGCAGTTTCTATATTTAACGCGCAACTTTAAGATATTTCATGCAAGGTTGCTCAAATACTTAGTTTAAACAAGTTATATAGTTTAAACTAAACATAACATTTTTCTAACTTGAATTTTTTTTTTACTAAACCATCTTATTGATATTTCTGAGTTGGAACGATTAAACAGAGGTTCAGGGTTTCAGACGGGAAATTTAAGTGTAACACACAAATTTATCAACATGGCTGCCCCCGCGAGGAGTGTTTTAAGAGGTCAGTTTTAATCATTGCAAAGAATTTTACTTATAATCTCTTAATGTCAGTGTATTTTCCCACGTTATTAACACGTGGAATCTGTGCTTATTTTTTTCAGCCTACGAATAAAATACATTGTTGCGTCGTTTATGTATAAAAGCTATCAAATGGATTACGATCTCTTATAGTCGTGCTTTTATGAATTAAGTCTGTCTGTATAAAGCATAAACTATACTCACACGATTGAAATATCAAATAGGACTTATAGACAAAAAACAGCCATCTGCCAATTTGTGTATTTATATTTTTGCTTAAGTTGCTCTTTGTAACTACATTACTAGTAAGTTAGAGTTGATATTTAAAATTAAAATAATCTAATTTAATACGGGTTTTTTATCAATCTACATAAGAAGCATTAAAAAATATTATTTAAGTAACTGATGGCAGTGTCTTAAGGTGACTGGTTAGTTAAAAACGATCATTGATATGTCCTTTAAGCCAGTTATCTTATTTCTACAATAATTGTGTGTCTTAACAGTATTACCCAGATGTCAGAGTCTGTTGTTCACAAATAGAGCTCCTTCTGTCTCCTGCAACTCACTGACTGCACACCGGCAACAGTCTGCCAGGTCCTACGCTGCTACAAAGTGAGTTCAGTTTAAACTTGTAAATGTTGAGACACTTGACAAACTTTGAAACTATTCAAAGAAGAATAACCAAAACTCCTTTTGTAGGAAAAAGGAGAAGAAAGAGGAGGCTGTTAAGGAAAAAGTGGTGAAAGAGAGAAAAATTATTGATGACAAAGACAGACATAAACCATTTGGACTCACAGCCTGGGCTCCAGTAGATGATGTGTACATGGTGAGGTATTATCCCAGACCTCTCTATGAGTTAACTGTGGCTATTGACATGCTGAAGAGCTTTCAGAAGCTGGACTTCAGTGCTGAAAACCAGCCTATCTACATTAACCTACGCCTGAACATGAAGCTGGAGAAAAAGGTACAGTTTCATTGATTTCTAAAAGCCGATTTTGACCTAAGTATTTGTTTAAAAGGATGCATTCACTGTTAACTTTATATCTCGGAAAATGTAAAGTATTTTTGAAATATTTGCAGTCTGCAAAATAAAAAAAATAATAAATGTACTTGATCAGAAATACAAAAAAAATCGGATTATAAAATGCCATTGCACTTTTTTGAATCATAAATTATTTATAATTGTAAAGATACATTTTAATCTGCACATAATTCAGTGTCAAATCACATGATTTTCAGAAATTATATATATAAATACACATACACACACACACACACACACACACACACACACACACACACACACAGTTGAAGTCAGAATTATTAGCCCCATGTTTATTGTTTTCCACAATTTTGTTTAATGGAGAGAAGTTTTTTTAAGCACATTTCTAAACATAATAGTTTTAATAACTCCTCTCTAATAACTGATTTAATCATCTTTGCCATGATGACAGTAAATAATATTTGACTAGATATTTTTCAAGGCACTTCTATACAGCTTAAAGTGACATTTAAAGACTTAACTAGGTTAATTAGGTGAACTAGGCAGGATAGGGTAAATAGGCAAGTTACTGGATAACGATGGTTTGTTCTGTAGACTATCTAAAAAAATAGCTTAAAGGGGCTAATAATTTTAACCTTAAAATGTTTTCTAAAAAAATTAAAACTGATTTTATTCTAGCCGAAATAATAAACAAATAAGACTTTCTGCAGAAGAAAAAATATTATCAGACACACTGTGAAAGTGTTATAGTTATAACAAATACTTCAATGAACAGAACATTAAACACTGACATTGTTTTTGTTTCAGAGAAAATTGGATCCGTTTGTTCGCACAATTCATTTACCACATCCTTTCAAGAGTGACATCAACAAAGTAGTGGTCTTCACTGAGGTGGGAGCATCACTTTTACATTAAACAATAGATGGCATGTCTTTGACTAAACTGATTTGGTCTTCTAATGTATCACACAATTTTACATTCATTAATCATAAAAATAATAAAAATCTGATTTTACAGAAACCAGATCAAGCCAGAATAGCGTTAGAGAATGGAGCAGCAGTTGCAGGAGGAGTCGAGCTGTTTGAGAAGGTAAGACCTTGCTGTCAGAGAATTGTAGCTTCTGTGTTGTCTAAAGTGCTCCTATTATGCTATATTAAAGGGTCACGAAACACCAAAACACATTATTTGAGCTGTTGACAGTTGTATATGTGTCCCACACTGCTAAAAACACTATTAGGACACCAAAATTTCACTAAAAAGTGTAAATTGGTTGTTTTTGCGTTATTTCAAGCAAATTCGTACTTCCTGTTTGAAACGAATTTTTGAAGCTGCGTCACAGTCATGACATAATAGCGTTGTATTCCAGCGTGCAGACTGGGCGTCTGTGCCAGAGTGAGTCTTATTACGTCTTACAGTGTGTTGCATTAATGCATGAGTAAGGCTTGGTTCAAACCAATCAGCACGCTCTATTGTGCAACTTCATTAATATTCATTAGTGTCACCGTGTTTACGCCCCAGAGACGCCACGTTGTGTTGGCAAAACAAGCGTGAAGTGTTGCTTTTATAGTTTGCTGCAGTTAAGTTTTGTTTTCATTTTCTCTCTGTGAGAACTCAGACTCACGTGTGGATTAACAGTGTACGCGACGCTCGACAACAATAACTTACGTGTCTAAGGAGAATTATTGTTTACCTGAGAGCTGTTCTCATCTGCAAACGCCGAATCCGGATTCGCTTGTAACGTTAGTCTTCTCTTCATAATGACGCTGCTCTAGTTGCTGGTGATTGTCCTGTCTCTACAGATTTGGTAAGTGAGCGACCAGTGCTCTTTGTTTATTCAGTTTGTTCGTATCGAATTAAGTTAACTATTGCACTGAGTGCAAACATGTTAGCACCGCATTTTGTGACCGGAATAACACACGCGGCTTTCTGACGCTACCTGCCGAGTGCATCTAAGTTTCCGGGAAATGCAGAGTTTTTTTTCTCTCATTCGCCGTGCGGTATCAAACATTGCATGAAAAATACACGCTTAGAGCAGATCCTCGAATCAAATATCGCGTTTGTCGCGAGAGGCATGAATGAATTCCCTGAATGAAAGAGCCAAACTGCAGTTAAAGTCCACCATTTAATAATTTGGCAAATAATTCCACTACAGATGTCCATGTAGGTTAAACACCATCTCTTTCTCCTGTGTGTGAGTATTTTGACTGAAACTCGCGCGTGCCCAAATAGACACTCCCACACCCTCCCACTTAAGTTCCTCTGACACTCCCCCCAAACAGAGCTGGACACGCCCACTTTTCTGACTTTTTCCAAAGTATAGGTGTGAAAACACCCTGCTGAAACGAGGGGGTTTCAAGGCCCTTTAATGTTTCCTAATTTTGGTTTGGAGGGCTCCTGCTAGCACAACCTATTTTCTCACACTGTTCAAATCGATACATTCAAGCATTTGGTTTTTTTAAACCCCTTATTAAGAGCCTGGTTTTCTCTGATTGGTCAGATTGTGGTCATGTAGGGGGCTTTCTTATTTCGTCTGTCTTTATCCTCCTTGTTAGAGCGCCTGCTTCCTATGCCAGGATCACAGATTCGAGCTCCGATTGGAGTGAGTGGATGGGTGTTGTTGGACCAGAGGTGTTACACTTGCATGCCAAAGTTTAAACTTTGCACTTTGAAATCGTAGTTTTGTTTTAGTGACAACTGAGTGACTATATATCATAAATACAATACAAAAGTCCAAATGAAAGAAAGTGATATCTGCCTCCAACAAATCAGTTATGCGTGTCAGAATGCATAAATAAATCATTAGTGATTTGCTGTTTTGGTGCAACTACAAACTGCATTCTTTACACTTACAAATAGTTGCTGTTTTTTGTAGAGATATAATGAAAAATAGTTTGAGAAAAAATCGATTCTGCTTCGATTCAGACATTTTTATAGCACATCACCTGCAAAGTTTCTAAGTGCACCTAAAAAATCTAGTAACTAATGATTTCTTATTTTTGAGAGCCTGGTCTTCTGTAATTGGTCAGATGGTGGTAATGCATGGTGCTTTCACATTTAGAGTCGTCAGTCTTTATCCTCTTCGTTAGAGCGCTTGCTTTCTATGCCAGGATCACAGATTCGAGCTCTGATTGGAATAGGTGGATGGGTGTTGGACCAGAGGTGTTATACTTGCATGCCAAAGTTTAAACTTTGCACTTTGAAGATGTAAAATGTAGAAAATGTAGTCACTCATGCCTCCTTTATCATAAATACAATGCAATAGTCCAAATGAGTCGTTTTCTGTGGATATAGATCAAATGATCTCTGCTTCCAGCGAGTCAGTTTTGTGTGTCAAAATGCATAAACAAATCAGTAGTGACTTGATATTTTTGGTGCACTTATAAGCTTTGCAGACTTTACACTTTTACAAATAGTTGCTGTATATTGCAGAGATATGATTAAAAGTTCTTCGAGAAATCGAGTCTGCCTTGATTCAGAGATTTTTAAAGTACATCACCATCTTCTAGAATGGATTCTGAGCTTAGTTTTTTTTAAACAGCAGATGGCGCTGTATGGTTTACAAACAGCTTGACTTTCCATGGATCCACACAAATACAACCTGAGCCTAAAGTAATTATTGATAAAGTTATAACAAGACAGAGTTTAGCGAATATTAAGTGTTCGTAGTGAGCTGTGTTTACTTTAATCTCGTGTAACAAAAACTGACTTGCAGTTCTTTGAGCGTAGTTTAAAAACTAACCTAGAGCGCCATCTGCTGTTAAAACTTAGCTCAGAATCAATTCAAGAGAGAAAAAGATCTAAATAAAGGCTACATCGATACCTCAAAGGATTTTTCACTAGAGCTCTAGTATATAGCACAGTACATTGGATGCTTTATACCAAAAACCATTAGGCGTGCACTTTAGGTGTTTGATTGTGTAAATAAATTTGTCTACACACTATTTACTCTGAGTTTAGCCTGTGCTTTGGCTACCTCATGCAGTGGCGTAGCGGACGGGCCCGCAGGGCACGCACCGCGGGGGGGCCCCGCGTAATTAGGGGGCCCCGCGTCGTCGCGATTTTCAAAAAACTGTTGGGAACAACTGTGGTCGGAACCAAAGTTCACAGGTCTGTGTTCTCTGAACACCTCTAAAGCGGTGGACTACTTCATTCTGATTGCTTGCCGCCAATGTTGCCAACTTAGCGACTTTGTCACTAGATTTAGCGACTTTTCAGACCCCCCTAGCGACAAATCTAGCGACTTTTTTGTGTGTTATTGGAGATTTTTTTAGACTGTCATTTGTCCATACTGTACCGTCCCTACTCTTCTCAACGAGCTGCGTGTGATGCCGCCGGCCCCTCCCCCGCCTCACAGCACTGACAGGCGGCCCAGTCAGTCCTCGTACAGCAGCCTCTCCCACCTGCAGCCCGAGAGCAGATCACCCCTCTGCGTACCGACGACAAATGATTTAGCACAGGCAGTGTGAAGGTATTTCGCTTGTACAGTCAAACCGATCTACTTCTACTTTATTTTAACAATTTAATTGGACCGTTTATTCTTTTCTTGTTCACAATCACAGATATTTTAGTGACAGTTTCTGAACTTGTCTGAGTTTATTTCATATGAGAGATTACTGCACATTCACTAACGTTACACATCTATAATGATATACTGTATTCAAACAGCAATAAATTTAGTTAAATAAACATGCTTATATGTAGTGCAATTATAAATACCCCTTTATTAACCATAGGCTGTTAAACAGAAACGGTAGAACGTGATGACGTCAGTGATATGCAAATTGACGTATGACGTATCCAACCCCCCCCCCCCCCCTTCATCAGGGGGCCCCGTCAGCGATCCCTGCAGGGGGGCCTCCGCATTTTGCGCTACGCCACTGACCTCATGATAATTGTTTATTGAAAAAGAGCATTGCTGTTGTTTTTGCAGTCACTCATTTACTTTGTGTGCTTTTTAATCTATGTTAATTGCAGATTTTAGCTGATGAGATCACAGCAGATTTCTACTTGGCTGAGCCAGACATCCTACCAAAGCTGGTCCCTTTGAAGAACAAGCTGAGGAAGAAGTTTCCAAAAAGCAAGAGAGGTCAGTGAGTTTCCTACTTCATGTATCATGCATGTGCTTTTAGTTGTTGTGTTCTATTAATGTTAAATTGTATGCTTGGTTAATGTTTTATGTTCTTTTGATTGAGTCATTGTGTTTCTCACATCAGGAACAGTTGGAATAAATATTCCCAGAATGCTTGAGCTGTTCAAGACTGGGCATGAATATATAGTTGAGGACATCTATGTTAACACAGAAGTTGCAACGGTAAGTCAGATTGAGCTGTTCTGACTGGTATACATTTTCCTGTATAATAAAGTGTGAGGGAGCAAGGTAATATTTGGATATCTTTTTTCTGTTGTTTTGTAAAACAGTTGGACATGCCCAAGGAGCATATTCTGGAAAACATTCACACTATTTTAAAGGACGTGGCAAGCCATAAACCAGCTGAATTTGGTGAGTACTTTATTTTCTGTAGTATGAAATAGAGTTTTGCGTCTGTTCACTTCACACTTGATGCAGGATCTCTTGGTTCTGCATACATTTGTTTCAGTCTCCTAACTGTTGATTTGCAAGACCAAACCGAAGGATGAAAAGTTTTATGTGTTAATTTAGCGACACAACAAATCGTCCAGAATAAGGATATGTACTGCGCCAAATGGGCTTGTTTTAAGTTTATGTCCTGTTTGGTTTGTTTAGATGATGTGTCTCTGTTACATTTATATTGGATTTTAGATTTATATAGAAGTTTATTTGAAAACAAACTGACACCAATCTTTTTGGAGGCCTGTTGCACAAAACAAGTTGAACAAACCATGTTACAGTGTAAGCTTTGCGCTGACAACAAAACTGACAGTGTAGCCTACTTTATAACGTCATTCACATCACCCTGACCATGTCTTAAAAATAAAATGAAAATATGATAAAAGGAACTGCCTATTTTCATTTTTAACAGACAACAAAGATGTTAAGACATCCTGTAGCTATATATATTGATAAATATGCATACAGTGAAGATGACGGTCATATATAAGTGCATATTTATCAAATATTTATGCATATTTATGCATAATATGCATATTTATCAAAACAGAGCCTATAACTGCCTCCTTTAATTTATTTTTCGAAAATATGAAACCTACTCTGTCTCTTTTGCTGAATATCAGTTTAATAATCAATAATGGCCATTATAAACGAATAGTGTACTATATGTTTCTAGGAAATAAATGCAAGCAATCAGTCAAATGTGCAGAATCAATGTATGTGGTTACATAAATTAATATATTAAGTTTTCTTGGCATTCACGTTACTTAACATTACAGTTAAAACATGTTACCTGATAACAAGTAATCGATTTAAAAGACCGCGTTAGATAGAGACAAGATTAAGTAAATATCACGTTTAACAACTATAGATCCAGTGACAGATACTTGATGAACTGTACGACGTGCGCTACTCTATTCTGAGCAGGTGTACTTTGGAGCTCAGACGTGCGCATAAGCTGCAGCACATGCCAGAGAGTGTGTGTGTGTGATCACGTGATGTGTGTTTTCAGTGGTGTAGTGTGGACAGAGATCTTTTCAGAATCGCTAGATGAAACGCCAGTGTGGATGTGGATCCTTTTTTATTCTAAAATGCCGATTTTAAACTAAAACGTAGTAGTGTAAATGGGCTCTGAGAATTTACCTCAGAGTTTATAAATAACTCTAGAGAGCATACAGCTGAAAGTGACACCTACAGCAAACAGCCAATCGCTTGACACTTAAGTTTAGAAACAGCCAGTTGTGCAACACAGCAGGTGGTCACACATGTGAACATTTAAATATCAATTTGGATTTGAAGTCATTATTAATGTTACTTGACAGTTCAAAACTTTTTGAGTATAATTTTCAAATATTTAAAACCTTATAAATAAATGATTAGCTACAAAACTATTTTATCTCAAAAATATTTTAAAAGATGCTAAAGGACTTGCTAGAGGTTTTGTTGCATCAAATATATGTCACTTTACTCGCATCTCATTGGTCATGTTTGAGTTTGCAATCTTTAAGCCAGAATAAAACCTGCTCTGGAGCAGGTTAGACGTGCAGTGTAAGTAACCATGGCTACAAAACCCGATTAAAACCAGCACACCTTCTTCCTGGTATACTCAAAGTTTGCCCAAACTAAATGCAAACTTACTTGGGTATATCCCAGAGTGGCTTTATTCAACAGGCCTGAGGGATTACTAATTGTGGTCAGTGTTTTGTTTGGCTCTAACTAACATTTCTAAGCAAGCTGAGCTACACAGTTCTGGATAAATTTAGAATTGTGTTTTTTTTTTTTTTTTTAAAAAGATCACATTTCTTCCAAATCAACTTCCAAAGAGATGAAATAGGAATTATTGTATATTTTGTAATATCAATATTATATATATATATATATTGTTTAACTCTGTTTAAATAAATCATTCAGACATTCACTTATAAAGGCTTCTCTCATTTCAATACAGGATAAAACAGCATTTTTGAAGAGTCTATTGAATTATTCAGTGACAAATCAATTTTTAATGGTTCCTTGTCGCCACCTATTAGCATACCAATGTAATTCTGCAACCTTAATTTGAAAGATCAAGTTGCTGTCAAGATGATTTTGATCATTACTGTAGACATCAGTGTTTATATGCCAACTATATACCATCATCTCAGTACCTCTGTGTCTGTTTGAATGTCTGTTACAAAGAAACAATATACTACTTGATATAACTACAGACTGTAGGTGTTTTATCTATTCATGAAGACTGCTCTCTCTCTCTCCCTCTCTCTCTCTCTCTCTCGGGGTCAAATGCAGTTTTAAATCCACAGCTGTCATTCTCAAAGTTTTAACAAACATATGAAAACCAATCGTTTACAGTTAAGATTGCTTGGGGGTTTAAGGCTTCAGTCTTTTAACAATGAATGCAGCTCTATTAACAAGTGTGAGCACACTTTTATTCCTCTACAGAATGCAGTGGTGTGGGATTTTTAAAATAGTTATTAACATGGAATCTGTTGTCATTGTTTTTTATTTTCTTCCAGGACCAATTATTGATCGTGCAATTGTCTGCAGTAGGTCAAGTGAAGGTTTGCACCTTAAGTTGGAGGAATTACTTCCACAAGAAGAAAAAATGGCATGAGATATTTTGCTTTGTATATATATGTGTTGTACAAAACAGTTGGACTGTAATAAAATGGTAAAAATGTTTTAAAGTGTAACTGTGATTTTTCTGATTCTACAAGCCATATCACCCTTTAGCCAACGACAGATTGCTCACTGAAGCTAAGCAGGGCTGAGCCTGGTTAGTAACTGGATGGGAGACCACATTGCCCCAGTATAGTGAAGGGGACACGATACTTTCAGTAGCTTTGTATCCATCCACCTATTTTTATGTGCAATTTGGAAATGTCCATAAAAAATGCTTGATGGAAATACAAAGACGCGCATAAATTTTGAAAATGCACATAAAAAGTTTATCCTACTCCAATATGGGCATATGCTTTTTTTTTTGAGAACTCACACGTTTAAATGTCACCATGCATTCATTGCATGTCAGCATTTATCTTCTGAGGGACATGTAATTTAATAAATAAATCAAAAATATTCATGCAGCTTTTCATTTCGCAGTAAATTATGTTTTTACTTTTGATGTATGGTGCCAGTTAATCAGGAATTGACGATTTTGTTCTCTTTGACTTGGATGGAAATGGTGCTTTATTCTCACGTCTTTTATGCAATATTCCAGTTTTGCACATCTAATATCTTATATAATTATATCTGGATGGAAACATGGCTAATGAGCACCATCTTTCGGATGAAATGCTAAACTCAATTCCTGACTTTTTTGTGGCCAAAAAAATCCCATGGCACTTCTCATAAAGTGCAACCCTGGTGTCCTGGCCATATTTATTCCATTGGCCTTTTCTCAACACAACCTCCAAATCATCCCCATCCACCAAATTGGTTTTATCACTGTCTCTCCACTCCACCAATAGCTGGTGTATGGTTAGTGCACTGGCGCCTTTTTTTTTGTGGCTGGCATTGCATCATCTAAGTGCATATGTTACACACTGGTGGTGGTGTGGTGAAACCCCAGTCATGATTGTAAAGCTCTTTGGGTGTATGACCATACAAAACAAATTTGCTATATGAATGCACCTTACTGATTTACTTAAAAGAATTGGGAGTATGTTTAGGTAGGGATGTGACCAAGTTAAGGACCCATTGTGGTATAAAAAAGGGTACACTTTTGCTGTGGATTTTTGATTTTTCGTTAATGATATATAATAATTTGTCATGGTACAAAATCAATTGACACAAAGGGGTTTATGTGCAGTCCCAATTTTTTTTTTTTTTTTTTTTTTAAAGGTGGTCCTCAGCAAATATACTGTCACTCAGGCATCCTGTTGACATAGTTTTTAAAGAAAGAGACAAAATTAGAAAATTAATGTAATCCTATTTTTATTGACGTTGAATTAAATAATCTTTTTATTAAAGAGGTAAGATTCCCACAGTCTTGGGAAAACAAGATATGAGAGTGTTTTAGAGGTGTTATACCTTGACATGGTAAACTCACTGAAAATTTCTTTAAAATGTTTTAGGTTGAAGCTAAGTAAAAAAAAATCATAACAAATACTAATATTATTTACATTTGAAATGTCAAACATTATTTAAAATGACATATTTTAATTCATATCCAGTGACATGCAAGTTATTTGCAGTCATTATTACCATTTTCAGAAAAGACTGAGAGCAACTTTTATAATGTTTTATACAAATTATTAATAAACTTAGGGAGCAGATAAAATAAAATACTTTAAATGATTTTTTCATTGCTTTTTTCTTGTCTCTGTCGTCTTCTACCTGTAACAGCAGGTGGCGGTAGAAACTGCCGCTTGCACTATGTTTTTTTCTTTTTCCTTAGCTCCGATTTAGACTTGTTAAAAGTGCTGGTAACACTTTACAACAAGGTTAATTAATGCATTTACTAACATGAACTAATCATGAACAACCCTTGTACAGCATTTATTAATCATAATTGAACATTTACTAATGCATTATTAACATCCAAGTCCGTGCTTGTTAACATTATAGTGCACCGTGAGTTAACATGAACTAACAATGAACTACTGTTTTTTTCATTAAATAACGTTTACTAACATCAATAAATACTGTAGTAAATGTATTGTTCATTGTTTGTGCATGTTGGTAAATGCATTAATTAACATTAACTAATAAACCTTATTGTAAAGTGTGACCAAAGTGCTTGATTTGTCTTAGTTTTATCGTTTTCGAGATATGATGTTAAGGCCCAGGATGCACCAAGGCACGTTTTATTTGTTTTGTAGGTAAGGCTGCATTGTTCTGTAAGACTAGTCGACATGACAGCCAAGTTACTGTATGTGGAATGTTTTAAACCTTTGAACAGCATGGTTAAAAAGTCTTACTTTCTGCAAATCTCCAATATTTTTTTATCCATGAATGAGCACCAAGGATCAGATTGCAAAGCTGCACGTGACTCTCAGGAATTCGACACTATTTTAAGTTTCTAGTGTGCATACGTTTCCTAAATACTAATCTACGCAAAATGTATAAATGCCAACAACATACAGGGCTACTTTAGCTCTATTTTACAAAATGTTTAATGTTTACACACACGTTAAATAAAAAACAAAAAAGCGCAAAATAAAACGTCATAGCATTCACAGAGGACCACCACTAAACCCAATACCAGTCAAAAACTTTAATGGCCACAGGTTTGTTCCCACAGTGGTGAAGGGGGGATGAGGAGGGGGCTCCTGAACTCGTGAATGCAGCTGGCCGTGTCTCTAATATAACTCAGTTTAAAGAGCGGCTCGTACGCTCACTGGTGGTTAGCGCGCGTTCCTCTGTAATTATTCGCGTTCGAGTTGTCTTTGCTATGGGCCCGTACTTTTAAGAGGCAGGATTGTCGTGTGGGCACCGCACTCTGTGGGGAAGTTTGACCGGAGAGCGCACCGGACTGGATGCTCACTGACACCGACCGTCTGCAGGACTTCAAGCCCGGGCGCTGCTGATTGATCCGAGTGCTTGGGAGAGCAGCGATGAGACGCTCTAACTCACATTCAAGTTAAAGCGATTGCATTTCTGAGCATTTTGGATTAACACGGGCTTTTAAGTGAATATGGGTCCTATTAGGATCCTTCTTCTAACCATTTTAATTGGATATAGCACAATCTCGCCCGGAGCTGAAGGTTGGTGTTCTTGTTATCGTGATTTTACTGAATTCATTGGTAAACGTGTTGCCTTGGTAGAGCCCTCAAATAAGCGCACATGGTATTTTGAACAGTAAGTGCAATAATATCTATCAGCAAATCTGCAAACAATCAGTTTCACTTATGCGAACCGAAAATGCGATAAACATCAATGCGCAACACTGATATTAAAAACTGAATGGTGTTTTTAAGTGATGTTTACGAAACGGCGCCTGCATCATCTCTGTATCTTAATCTTCAACTTACATTTGCATGAATTCATAACTCACTAGCTCGTTTTTATTGAGAAGTTGTCAACGTTATTGCGATTGTTTTTCAAGATTGTTTGTTATAATATGCTTTCCTTGATTTGAGAAGCAAAACTTGAATTTTAGAGATTATTATCTCTATGATTATAAGAGTTTATTTATAATCAAGTGTTTCAATAGTTTCTAATCTGTTTCTGCACAGCCCGCAGTTGAATGCAGGTCTTATTATCTCAAGTGCATTTGAAATCTCTATATTAATAATGCATAATTTGTTTGTTTTTTGCCTTTAACTATGTTGGTGCCTTTCAGTCATTATTTCCAACTGTATGTGTACACTGCCAGAAGAAAAATGTGCAAAATGTGTACCTCCAGAGGTACAATGGCATGTCACTTGGGAAGTACGCTCTAGGGTACATCAGTTTTACCCTTTCACATGGGTAATCACATGTGTGTACCCTAGCAGTGCATATCTCAATATGTACCTCTCCTGTCTGAATTGAATCTCAATGCTGTGTTATCATAATGTACAATTTAAAACGGTGCACATTTCTTTGCCCCAATTGACAAGCCTTTTGTACCATTTGATGTCAAATCTGTACTCAATATATCAAATTAAAAAAGTCATAGTGATGTTTATCAAATTAATAACCCTGTAACTACCCCACCATGAATGTTTTTTTTAATTGCAGTAGTTAACTCTCTCAATGCATATTTTCCAACACATCCCATAATTTCTAAAATATCAGCCTCTACCAAATGGTTGATTTGTCAGTTTATGATAAAAGTACCAGAATGAATACATATACAAAAAATTTAAGTGTAAAACCAATTAATCAAAAGAATATTCAAAATAAAACATTTTTGGACACTAAATCATCTTTAATTTTTCTGAAGTATATCATAATATATTTCAGATTCTCATTTTTTTAACATGTTTTCTTGTTCTATTTGTTTAGTTTTTTTTTTTTACAATAAAACCAAAATTCCTAAGTGTAGTAGTGTAACAGGATTGTTTTTTTTTTTTTTGTAAACCATTATTTAAAACAGTCATTCTTTAAATGACTTTAACAGTCATTATTTAAAACAGTCAGTATATGGTCAACCATTTGGTATAGCTGGCAGTTAAAGAGTTAAACATACAGAACTATTAAATTCCGACATTTTTAGACAACTTAATTGTTTTAAGCTTTATCACAATATAATTAAAGGAAACATAAATTTCACAATTTTACAAAGAATACAAAAAGCAATCATGTTTCATCAGTACACAATGCAATATTTATAACTTTACACTTTTGATCACAAATACATTATTCTCACCTTTTTAGATAATGTATATTTTAAGCTCTATCACAATGTGTCATAACAGATATGTGATGCATTCATACATTAAGCAATTTTACTTTTTTAAAGACAATTCAGAACGTTTTAATAAAACTGTGAACTGCAAGCAAATTAAGTTTAAAGGCATAGTTCATCCAAAAATGTACATTTTTCACCCTGTTCTCACCCTCAACTGGTTCCAACTCTTGATGAGTTCTTTCTTCTGTTTAAGAATATGTTTTAAAAAAGCTAAAAACCTGTAACCAGTAAAGACAGATACTATGAAAGTCGATAGTTACAGGCTTCCAACATTTTTCCACCTTTTGCCATAAGGGTTTGAAACAAGTGAAGGTTGAGTAAAAGATTATAATATTTTCATTATTGGGTGAACCATCTCATTCATCAGTACTAGGTGAAGTCAAACAAGCTCAAGATAAGTCTTAAAGCATTCCTATCTCATTACAGCCTTTGAGGACAAGCCGTTAAATTTCATTAATTAACCGTGTCGCAATCTTTTGTGTTCTCTCACACTGGCCGACAACAAATGGGCATTTATAGCTGCCCTATAGACATGCTTGCCATGACTGTGTCATTTAGCCACAAGTAATAATGAACTTGTGCCAGTGAAAGCTCACATATTGATCCTTGTCCACTCTTGTTCACCTCATTTTCTCCATCCACAGGAGCGTGTGTCCATCAAGGCTCATTGTTTGCGGTACGTATGCATTCCTTGTTCTCACTTCCTTTTGATCTGATGAGATTGTGCTGATATCTGGGGCTTTAAGTCATAATCCTGGCCCATTTATGCAAGTCGGACATTGCTCTGTTAATTATTTAGCAGCCCATTAGTGGCAATGAAAGTAGTCGCCTGCTAAAGTATCATTCAGAATAGGTTTCACAGTCACTACAGATGTATTTGTGCAGAAGTGCCTCATAAATAATGAAGAGTGCTGACTTTGTGAATGGTAATGTGGAGAAGATGCTCTAGATTATGCATCTTCACTTCAGGTGTTTCTTCTACAGCTCAGTGTTAAATTGTCAGGTTTCAGAGTCCGAGTCCCATGCATTTTGTGGTTGTGAGTGATGAGATTACTCTTTTGTTGTTCCATTAGGTAAATTAGGGGTTTGTGCGTTAATATATGTGCAGTTTTGAACCTTTTTTGCTGGAATAATAACAACACACCTGACAGCGATGCTTAACGCAACTTACATGGGAATGTGGTGCTCAACAGGTTTTCTTTCTGGTTAAAAAGAGAGTAATGACACATTTTGGAGTCTGCTTTTGTGTAAAGACAGTAATTAAAGGAAGTGTAAACACATCTGCAGGATTCCTTCCTTCACCCTGAGTACTGGGAATGGAAGTGAATGGTATGCGTGCATTATTTGCTATAATGTGGCTCCTCCTGGGATTCAAGAGGCTTTGTGGGGAAAAGGGGGAGCGTTTTGGGAAGACGGTTGTAGACAGGTGGAAACATGTTGGAGGGAGTCAGGAAGAGGCAGTTTTGGAGTTCAAAAGAAAAGTCAGCCAAAACACCTGGACAAGGAGCCAAAGTGTCCTAATAGGAAAAGGCAGGATTTAAGTTGTAATTATGGTTTCAGAGTGTTTTCAGGAGTCGTTAGCAAGTCAAAGTACTGGTTAAGATCATAAGTGAAGGGTCACACCTTGTCAAAACTGGTTATAGTTGATCTCTTATTACTTATCTGGTTTGTTGATGTGTTAGAAATACTATAAAAAGTTCAAATTGTGTGATGTTTAATTTTCTTCAGTTTCAAGTTTCTGTTTTGTGTTAGCTGATGAAAATGAATGAATAGCAAAAGTTCTGTTCAAAGCTTTTGAACAGAATATGTATTGTGTTTGTTGATTTGAAATGAATACATTTATTTAGCAAGGCAGTTTAAAATTTCTTATTCTTTAAGTAAAAGACTTGTTACTCTAACGGTTATATTATATTATGTTATATCTAATGTATTATATTTATCTTTATATTACTATTAATCCTCAAAAAAATACCTCCACGGTGGCCGAGAGAGCTTAACCTGCTGCAATTTAAGAAAACACGTGCAATAACAAAAGAAAAACGACAGCAAATTAAGAAAAGATCTTCATCAGCAAGCTCTGTGATTGGTCAGCTTGGTAGCACTGACGTGTGTGGGTGGGGGTGAGAGACACGCGAGCCAGATGGAGCGAGTGTTTATAAGTGTGAAGTCCTGTGAAGAAGCTGCAAAACGCAAGCAGAAGTATAAATGCACAGCTAGGCGCATTGCATGTGCCGTGGGTCACGCTGATCACTCGACGCAGAAGTATAAATCAGACTTAACACGTGACGAATCCGGCTATTTAGGCTATAGTTATTTAGGCTAATGTATTCTAAAGACATGTGAATCGGGATGTTAAAATAAACAAACAAAAAAACTCACCTTTCAAAGATCACCTTTATCTTCACTAAGCAATAGTCACAGCAAAACGGTGTCCATCGCGTTTTTGGGTTGTGACGACCCCAGGATTTCAGTATGGATGTGGCAGATCCTGATTGGGTGCCTGGTTGCTCACTAATTGGCTCAAACCATATAAAAGCGAGTGTGTGCTAGCTTCTGAAGGATGGTGCGGCTACGGGCTGTCCTCATGTCAATACCATCTCTTGATTTCTGTAACCTTATGGTTTTGTTTAGCATTATTTATTTGTGTAGTTAAAGTAGTTATTTTCTTTATTTTCCCCTAGACATTTGTTTGTTTGTTGATTTTGTTGTTCTATTTAGTTTTATGTATAATAAATAGGTTGCATATACATTCTTTTGTTGTCCAAACTCTTTTATGTTGCGACTCGAACGAGGGGGTCGTAACAGGGTCCCCTTGAAAAATTTTCATGTGTTCCAATGTTTTTGTGTTGTGAGAAAATGCAGTGTGTTTCCTTCATTTGTTTGCATTGTGAAAAAATGCAGCACATTTTTTTTGTGCAGCCAAACGGCTGAAGATTTTTTCTTAATTTGCTGGTGTTTTTTGTAATTGTATGTGTTTTCTTAAATTACAGCACTTTAAGCTCTCTTGGCCATCATACATCTCAGTTTCCACAAGAAAGTCAAACAGAACAGCTGTTTTCAAATTTGATTTCAAGAGCTCACACGTAGCTTATGATTGATAATAAATGTTGTTTGGCATACTGTCCCGGGAGAGAGCCCTGTGCTTATGAGATCCTTGAGCCCTGGGCTCCTTTCTGTTTGCAGGGCAAGAGGGGAGTTTGAGCTCAGGTAGATCTCGATGAACTCCCCCACTTATTTCTGGCTAATGACAGATATAGAATGGCTGAGGAGAGGTGTACTCGCTAAGAGCTTGGCTATGGTATCAATTTGGTATGTTCAATTTACTTAGGTTGCATTTTTTTTGGACTGTAGGAGGAAACTAGAGAACCCGGGAAAAACCCACATGAGCCAGGGGGAACGAGCAAACTCTGCACAGAAATGTCAACTGGTTTAGTGTGGACTTTAACTGGAGACATTCTTGCTGTGAGATAACAGTGCTAATCACTGGACCGCCGTGTTACCCATCTGGAAACGAGGATGAGAAGGGTGGGCAGGGGGGATTCTAATATATTCAAGTCGAATATATTTAGATAAGAAAACTTCGGTTATTTATTGTGAGTTAGGAATCATCTGATTAAAGAATCAATCATGAAATCATGCGGGACCAGCTGAAAACAATAAACCCATGATCCACTCGAAATTAGTGTATAAATAAACTACACAAAGTGTGAAATGTTTCTTCTTTCATCAAATCATCAATTCTGAAGGATTATTAAAGGTCTGAATCTGAAGACTGAAGTAATGGCATCTAATCTAATTTGCCAGCACACTAATAAATTGCATTTTTAAAAATATATATAGAAGGGGGGTGGCTCGGTGGTTAACACTGTTGCCTCACTTCATGAAGGTTGCTAGTCCAGGCTGAGTCAGTTGGCATTTCTGTGTGAAGTTTGCATTTTCTCCCTGTGTTCACATGGGTTTTCTCCAGGTACTCCGTTTTCCCCCACAGTCCAAAGACATGCGGTATACAGTAGGTGAATTAAATAAGCTAAATTGGCTGTAGTGTGTGTAAACGCGCGTTTGTGGGTGTTTTCGAGTGTTAGTTTGCGGCTAGATGGGCCTCCGCTGTGTAAAACACATGCTATATATAGTTGGCGGTTCATTCCACTGTGGCAACTCCTGATAAGTATGGGACTAAGACGGAGGAAAATTAATGAATGAATAATGCAGCAATAGTGTGTACATAGTAGTTTTTGTGTATTTTTTTCTCAAACAAAAGCAGCCATGGTGAATGATTTTGTGATATTTTTAAAAAAAAGTTTTTTTTTTATTTATTTTTTTAATAAAAATCTTATTAAACCCAAACATTTCAACAGTATAGTGTGTATTAATTCTTATAGTTTATTTATTGGTGGCACAAACAAACTTTGTTGTGTGCCGCAGAAACCTGAACTTGAACATGGATAATTAATGAGCCTGTTGAGAGAGATGTTTTGCAGCTGATGTAGCAAAGTTTTTCAATTATTATGTATGAATGACTGTGCCTTCCTTCATAGTTAAAAAAAAGAGAGTGTTCTATACAGCCACTGCGAACACAACAGTATGGTATGACAGATGCAGGAACCTCTCAGGAGTGTTAATTTCATCTTAGCAGGCAATGATTTAATACAGCAGTTTTTGCATTTCTGCTGTGAAGATTCTTTCCAATGAATACAGTATAAAGATTAATGAGTCGCTGTGCAATAGCGCTCAAGCTTCCCAATCCAGCAGCACATTCTGAAATAAGGTACAGCACCACATCTATACATATCGCTCGTGCCCTGGAGCACAAATTCCCTGCATTGCAAGTAGTTCACCTCTAAGCAACTGGAAATGTAGGGCAGCTCAAGAATAGAACCATCTAAACACAGAACCCCTAAAATGACGTATTTCGCTTGTTTGATTTGGTGTCAAATAAAATGTTTAACTCATTTCTACACAGATCTAGTATATGCCTGGGGAGTAGAACTGACATTTTTATGAAGTATGCATTATTCATTATACACGCATATGGACTTATATTTTATAACAGTCATTGATTTATAATGTACATTATATTCAAATACCTTGCAACAACATTCTTTTCTAGTCTGTTGATAAGCGCGAGAGACAACCTGTCAATCACAGATATTGACCAATAACATGTAGTAATGATCTTACCGTCCATTAGATTCCCAACAGAAATAAATCCAATCATATCCTTCAGACTTTTTAGTTCAAGAAGCCCTTTAAGTTGAATATACTTCACACTAAGGAACATAAGATGACTGCAACTTTAATTTCAAACTGATTTTAGCATTATTTGAGCCATTTGAACATTTAAAAAAAGCTATTTTAAACCTACAGTTAGCTTCTACATCCAAGCCACCCATGATGCCTTTTCCGATGGTCAGCATGTTCTTCAGAGGATATAGGCCTGAGCTTCATGACCTCGAGGCACATGGAGATTCTGCCTAATTTAAGCCTCATTAGGGTGTTTTTGTGATGTTCACATACCATCCCTTTTAACGAGAGGTCAATGTATCCTGTTTAATTAGGCCTCATTGCACCTATATATGAAGCTGAACACTAATCTTACAGACTTTGATATGAGATTGAGAAGAATGCATCAAAGCTACAAAACAAGACATATATATTTCTACTTTATTGATCTCGTGT